TCTCTTCTGGCCAGATGGCTCCGCACCCGCCGCTTTAGCAAGCCTACTTTTCGAACAAAATCATTGGAAAAACACAGTGTTTCGCGACTTTCCTACCTTTTCGCGCACCTGCATCTTCTTTCTTCTGACTCTTTCTCTTCTCTGATCTTCTCTCTTCTACTCTTCTCTTCTCTCTCCATCTCTGCTTTTCATCCGTCCATATTGTCGGAAGTTTGGCTTCTAAACTTCCTTCGATAAATAAGGGTCATCCATAGTCCATAAATATAAAACATCTGTTGTTTTAGCCGTGTTCTATTCTATTTGGGGCTTCCATAGGCTTCCTGTGTGTTGAGAGACACGGAAAGCCAAGGTGTGGACTCGCAGCCCAGGCCCAAGGCGATGAGAACCGCCGAGAGCGCCATGAAGACGCTATTCACCGACCTGGGTCACTGACACACTTCGCGTCATACAGGTGTGGGTATGTGTGGGTCTAAATTGGGGCACCCAAAGATAGATGGTCCATGAGGTCCATGCTTAAAAATGAAATCGCCCTTCAACTTTTCCCGACATACTTGAACCAGCCCCTTCCCATCCCCAACAAAAAAACGTTGCGCCCCCGGACTCATAGTAGTTCGGACCACCGTGCGCTCCCGAAGGCCTGGCCCGACTGTGACAAGGCATGGGTCCATGGGTCCATGGGTCCATGGCTCCCTGGCTCCATCCGCCCACCTGCCAGGTCCTCCAGGGATGGTCTGGGTGGAGGCTTGCGAGCTGACAGCCTCGGGCCCTGCCAGGATATCCTGCGAAAAAAGCCAGTTGGAACTGGGAAAAGTTAGGAAGATCCCAAGTTGAAGAGTAGTTTATCACACCTTGAGCGGTAAACCGTCCAAGTAATGAACAGATTTTACGCTTCCCCCCAGAAACCCATCCTCCCATCCCCATAATGCTTTTCGTCCATCCTCATTGACTTCCGGTGGCGGCGGTTCCGGTGGCAGCTTCATCTCTGATTTGGCTTCCGCCGCAGCGTGGGCATCCGGAGCTGGCGGCGGTGATGCTGGAGCAGGACCCACCTGTCCAACAGCTTGCCTTGGCCAGTCAAGGTAAGTGCTGGGAACTGGGTGCCCCATGGCGTCCCAAGAGATATGAACGACTTAGGGTGGTTGCTGCTTAAAAAATGACAACATTAAAATTGATGAAACTTCAGCAGTCCAGAAATTGGATGCGAGCTTGAGCCTTACTAAACCACTCAATGACTTGCATTGATTTGCCGCTTTATTTATTGGGCAGTAGCCAGTAGCAGCTGTTGAGGGCAATCTGGCCTGGGTGGTATGGCGGTCGAAATTGGATGAAAAATCGGTGTTGAGAACAAAGATAGCCAAACATCTGAAGGTTGGGATCTTCATTTCTGCTGGCCTATACGGAATCCTGTGCCTGGAATTTCTGCATCCCGGTACATTCCAAGGCAGGTTCTCTCACAGAAGACAAACAATGCAACCTACCATTGCCTACCATTGTGAATTTTTGACTTCCCCTCGTTTCTGAAAACACGTTCAAATTCCGCATATACAATGAATGTTGGCTCATACAAGTACCATGTTCAGTACAGACTTCCTTTTTGGAGGATGCAGTGGATTAATTCCAGCTTTCCACCCCTGGCCCGCTGAGATCCCCCCACGCTGGCATCGCCTGAAAGGCCGAAGCCCGAGCAAGGCCCCTGGACCTTCCAAGGTCCATGCTGGCCCAGGAGTCGGCCAAGTGCGGCATCCAACGCCTTAAGGTTGGGACATGTTGGGACCTAAACAGTTCAACAAACCGGTGAATCATCGATAGAAACGGGAGAAATCATTGGTAAGTCTAGCTGCAGATCGGGAAATCCAATGAAATCCAACAGTTTCGATGTAGAAGTGAGTTCTCTACACATATTAGATTGTCCATTGCCAGATTTGTTTACTGGGCGTACTGGTCCCCCGCAAAAACAATCAAGTTCTTGGGGTCATATCTCAGGGATCGGTTTGCAGATGCACGTAGGTTTTTAATAGAATTATAGAATAGTGTAAATTACAGACGGTCAAAGGACCCAAACCTGGAAACATAGCGTGTTGGACAAGAGCCAGTCATTTCTGTTGCCATGATGTCCAAAGCCGCCCCAAAACGGTCTCTGTGGCACTCTGAGCAGCGCACGACCGCTTGCAGTTCTGCAAAGCGGGTGCTATTGCAATGCTTTGTGCAAACGGTGCCTTGCAATTCACGAGTGGTATACAGATTTTGCGTCGAACAGGCGAATGTCAATAAATTTGTGCAGTCTGCAAACGTGCCTTTGAGCCAAAGCCGCCCTTGCTTCGACTTGCACATGGATTGCTTCTGTTTGGGCTTGGGGGTCTGATTCTGCAAAAAAAGGTACGGTAGGCTCTTTGACAGCTGAATCAGTTGCAAGTGGGACTCTTCCAGCATCCACTTTTTCTCACAAGCTACAATGGTGTCAGGACACGTTGCCTGACAGTGCCTACACATCCTACACCTGGATCTTGAAAGCATAAGGACATATCCTTGGCAGTTGGCCACATTTCGTTTGAAATGCGTCCGTCTCCGTGGGCCCTGCCGCACCGGCCGTCACAGATCTATTCACTTCTCAGCAGCCGCGAGTTGCGAGCTACGCTACGATTGTCTGCACCCGCGTTCTTTCTGAGCCTCTTTCAACACCTGGCTGCGCATAGCGCATGCTGTGTGCCAGTCTGGTCTGAAAGTATGAAAGTCACACTGCCCAAAGGACCTACGGCCACCATTGGCCACAGGCCAAATGCTCTTTCGTGACGCGCATGCCGCATGCCTAATATATGTTTCAATGTGTTTGTTTATCGGCATTTGGCTGCTCGTTTGTTGACTAACTTGTTAAATTGTTGATCCGTTGTTTGTCGTTTCATTGGTAACTGTCTTTTGGCTCATCTATCGATTTGGTGATTTGGTTTCTGATGGATAGAGAGAGAGAGATAGCCATAGCAGTTAGCACCATCTCATAAGGATCCAACGATGGGCCCCACATTGCCTGCATCAGCTCGGGGTTGTGTCTGCTCGCCAGATCGCTTCCCTTCACAGTGGACACCTCATAGGCAGTCAGAGACCTGTCATCCAACAGCCAGTGCATTGAATGATGACAGTGGGCCCAACATACATGGTATGGTCCGTTTTGGTACTGACTAAGACATCCAACTTTGGGGGCCATCTTCCAAAATCAGCCCCTCAAGTCAGTCGAACTTCAGCACCACAGAACGGTCCCAGCAAGTCATAACACACAATCTGGAAAACTGAAGTGACCCAATTTAAGTCCGAGAATGACCGAAAAGTCTTGGAGTTTCCATCTCTTCCAAAACGTAAACATGCCATGACGAACTGCTCGTTCTTCAGCTCAACCTCAGCACCATTCCTGCCAAATGCCGTGGATTGCGCTCGGAACCCCAGTTTGAGAGCCTGTCGCCAGCACAGTATGATCACTATGGTTGTGGGTTAAGTAAGGTTGGGTAAGTTTGGGAATGAACAGGAATCGGATGCTTTAATTACAAACACAAACATCTCGAACAGCCGAAAATTCGTGAGACTGGGCCCAGTCTTGACCCTGGCCCACGACTTTTGCAGGGAAGCAGAAAGTGTGAAAAAAGTTGATCAGTATTTATTATCTTCCAATATTTAAATATATTTAAGACATTGTCCAACTGGCCATAAAAAACTTGAGGATCCTCCTTTTTTGTTCAAACCCATCTCCATCCATCGGGATACTTTCAAGGGAGTCATGACAGTCCTCAGCAGGATCATGGCACATTCAAGGTTACCTTCGTATGCTGCGGCCTCGAAAGTGAAAAGATGCATTGCTGCGGCTACGTGTGTTTCTTCCATATCAGTCATCATAAGTTAGTCATATGCGAAGACTCGCACTGACATGAATGCAAATGATGAGACAAGATTGGAATCCGAAAATCATTGGAAAACGCTTGAGTCACGATAAATCTCTGAGTCCAAGGCATGCAAAGGCGTGTTACCCGCTATATCCTGACACAACTGGTCTTCATCTCTCTCACTGTCGCAGTCAGCCCAGAAGGACAAACTTGCAATGAAAGACCATTTGGGATCGTTCCCCCTATCACCATCATCATCATCATCGTCATCGTCGTCATCGTCATCGTCATCATCCTCATCATCATCATCATCATCAGCATCATCCCCGATTTCCCATTCCATCTATTGTCAGTTCCTATGACAAGGACGTGGTCGTTGGTGCTGCAACTATTTGGGAGCGTCATTCATTGAAGGACATTTGGTGCCGTTGTTCTGAAGGGCCACCTGTCCCAGCAAAATATGATCTTTAGGTGACATTCCGGCATAGTAGAAATACGCGTCAAGTGCGGGCCCCAAAATCTCCCAAAACCAATGTGATGCCCTTCTGAGCTTGGGAATCTTGATAAGTCCCATGGATGTATTCTCCCCCTTTTTCCTCCTTTTCCATGTAGCTCATGACTTGCTCATGGGATCTCCTGGGTTTTATCACTCGAAGTTATCCCTCATCACACCGGACCTGGGCATCAATGAGGCGAAAAGCCTCGTGCATGAACAGCTGAACCACCTGGCATAGGCACCCCATGACCCAGTCATCCCAGTTCCTTTCTACTGTTCTGATGTGTTCTGCAGTTCTACTTTGCTTGGATAAACATGGCTAAACCCTCCAGCTTCGTTGATTTGGAAGAATTCCCAAAACAAGTCCAGATTGATGTGGCAGCCTGATGCTTTGTTTTGAACTTTTGCTTTGCGTTTTGTTCGCCTTTCTTGAGCTACCTCGCTTCACGATTAACTTGAGTGCAGAATGACCCTGGGTTTGGGGGTTGCCACGGGTTACCAATATTTTTTGCACCTCCCCGGATGGCCGTGAGAGGCAAACGTGCAAGGGAGCGCTCTGTCACCACATTGCCATGTGAAATCTGCACCCAAAAACTTTAAGTGTGGTGAGTATGAGTACCAAAGACATGGGTACTGTACTCCTAGAAAATGCTCACCCATCCACATGGTTATGGGTGGAAACTTAACGGAAATCAATATAATCTGCGTGTTTACATGCGTTTACATCATTTTAGCGTATTCTAACAACAAATTTCAGTGGCAAGAAAATCAGCGACTTTGCTCCATCCACCAATGAAAAAATCACCCTGCCTCCATGTGCCCAGCTGAACAAGCTAGGTGGAGGCCTGTCTCACCTCGTGAAGAGGTCTCCTCAGATCCCAGGTGTGTCTAGGCTTCGCTGCACTTACACCCGGTGGGTCCATCAGCTTCCTGGGGCCCTGGGGCCCATGCACACAGATCACTTCTGGCCTCCAGAAGATATTGAACCTGGAAAGGATGGAAAGATATGGAAAGGTCATCGGCCAAGTTCTCTGGAAGCTAAGACCAGAAAAAAATGGCCAAGGATTCTGCGCATCTCAAAGAGCCCGTGGAGCCTCAGAGCAGCTTGATGAAAGTGGGTGCCCAAAGTTCAGTTCACGTAAAACTGTACAGGAAAAACTTGCTACTGATGAGCCGGGAAATGTCTTACATTGTCACATTGTCTTACTCCACAACGCTTGCTGGCTTGCTGTGCAGCAACTGGTGGGCAATTATCGTGTGTCCGGGCTGTGCAAATAGAAAAAAATATCAATTATGTTGAGTGGTGATTACATGTGCCGTTCCAGCTTGTTTTCCTGCCTGAGGTCCGCACAAGCCATGTGCATGGGAGAATAGCCATCCAAGTTGTGCACCTGCATGCCATTTTTTGCTCAAAATATGTCGCTTTTCAACATGATCGGCGTGTCCCAAACCTGGGGCATATCCTGAAGAATATCAACCGCTGAAGCGGCTACTTCTGAAACACCCTGGGAAGGCAATGGCTTTGGGACCTCACCCTTACATGTGGATGGGGGTGGTCGCCTGAAGACATGCAGAAGCGGAGACCAACTGCTCCAAGATCTGCTTTTTCACGGTATCTCTGCCACCCACCTGGCAGCCGGATGTGGGCTGTTGAGTAAGGACCAAGAGGTGATCTGTCGTAGTGGCGTAGTGGTTTTGAGCCATTCCCAACTCGCCACAGCAAAAGGTACCTGTGACTAGAACCACTGGAAACACGAGAACGCAAAAATCCATGGAAACCAATGCAAATGCCGACGCTATCGAAGGTTAGCAACCATCCAACGGCTGCATTGCCGACAACTGGACCGGGTCAACGCATGAGCTGCACCTTGCCCACTGCCAGGTGCACTGCCCTCAGGATTCACCCATCAAATTCCCTGGCACGGGTGATCCCCGATGGTGCGCCCATGGTACACTGAGCAGCGGACATGTTGGCCTTGGTATCCAGCAGGTTTGGATCTGCGCCGAACAGGCAAAGCACCTGACCATCACAAGATTCCTGGAGCATCCAGCTGAGATCTTTCTCCAGCAGTTTGATACAGCGACAAATTCACATTATCGAAATTGATGATGGAACCCGGTGCAATCTGTATGATTTGCTCTATTTATTCCCTGCACGTTGCAGTTGGTTGCGTCCAACATATGTTCTGGTCATATGCCCTGTAGATTCGCAGGTGGAAACCTCACCAGCTCGTCGCTGCTCACGGCGGCCGCACCTCCACTAATTCCGGCAGCTGGTGTTCAGCTGCGAAATGTAGCGCAGATTTGCCGGCGAAGGTCTGGCAATCGATGTTGGCTCCTGGCATGGACCGGTGCACCAAGGCACCAGGCATTTCGGATCCAGGCTTGATATTTATTTATTTATCTATATTAAATAAACAAATATATATATATATATATACACAACACATACGGATGTATAGGTGTCTATGTATGTATGTATGTATGTATGTATGTATGTATGCATGCATGCATGCAGGCAGGCAGGCAGGCAGGTAGGTAGGTACGTATGTACGTATGTACGTATGTACGTATGTACGTATGTACGTATGTATGTATCTAGGTAGGTAGGTAGGTAGGCAGGCAGGCAGGCAGGCAGGTAGGTAGGTAGGTATGTCAGTGAGTGAGTGAGTGAGTGAGTGAGTGAGTCAGTGAGTGATTATGCATGTATCAAAGATCTTACATGCGTTTGGGATGTCCAAAACCTACAAATTACAATGTCTCATAGTCCCCCGATGTCCCCCGCGTGGCGGTATTGGCTGAAGCCATGGAAGCTGATAATCTCAGCCGGGCGATCCATTCTCCAGCAAGAGATTTGCAATCCCTCTCCAATTGCTTTTTCTCAAGCACACCTTGGCTGTGATGATCCTCCTGCACTCATGACATATCATGACATATCATGACATATCATGACATATCATGACATATCATGACATACTGTCCCATTGGCTTTGTCTAATGAGATACCCAAAGTCCAACGGCTAGTCTGTATGATCATTTTGGAATATGTCCCCATTGAAATTGCCATAAATTGCTGTCCCATGTGTCCTCCATGTTTGAACAACCCCACTTCCCACTCTGCGGCCTCAAGAAACCTTAGGCCCCGAACATAGTGCAGGGGTGCAGCACCCAGGCGGTTCTGCACGTTTGGGTCAGCCTAGGGCTGCATTCTGGGCATCAAATCGTCGTCCCATGTCTTGAATCCTCCGGAATCAAACATGGCAATGCAAAATCTCCTATTTGCAGATGATTTCCGATTAAAACATCCATTGAATTGCCATGTTTGACTACCAGATGGATCCAAATGGTAGATATTCACTGTGAGTTCCCTGATTTGGGGTACTCAATATTAGCCCATAGCAGAATATATCGCGGGTCTATGAACAAATATTATCAAATATATTATTAACAAATGACATTCTGAACATTCTGAAGAAGCATGAGATAGCATGAGATAGCATGAGGGTGTGGCTGCATAACCCATGATTGCTTATATGATAGTTGTCCCCAGTGACCCAGTGAGAACCCCAGCTATTCGATGTCTTCCACGGTCTTCCCGTGTCTTCAGGTCCGCGCCATCTGTTCCAGCAGGCAGGACACCGTGGCAATCTCGTTGCGAGGAGCCTGGACTCATAGGTGGTTTCTTTGGATTTGGATCATGGAGACTTTTGGGGAGTTTGCCAAATTTACAGCCAAATTTATCCGTAACTGATAGGTTGTAACTTATAACATATGACTTAATTATGTTTACAAAATTATAACTTATAAGATTTATAACATCTTATAACCCATCCCAATGTATCCCAAAGATGATTTATAGGAATCAAGCTCATGCTTTGAGAACCGGATCCACCAAATCCAGCAGCCTCCACTGCGACATGTAGAGGCGTGTTTCCCTCTACGTCCACCTCTTCGACTGTGGCACCTGGGTCGTTGTCAAATTGGGCACCGAATAGAGTCTGAATGGCACCTCCGTCCTCCAACGACCGATTTGGCGCCACAGGATTGAACAGGGAAACACCAACTTTTGAATGGTATGCCGAATGGTATGGATGAGTTTCCTCCTTGTTTGTTTTTGTCAAAATAGCTAAGAGATGCTCAGAGTTGTGGCTTATCCAATGGTCACCAGCAGTTCGACCAATGCTTGAGCCTAGACTTATCAAAGTCTTGTTTCATACATGTGTGTGTGTGTCCAATTTCCATCTGTACATATATGTCGTTCATTAGCTTGCCGTATTATAATCTGGCAACTGACGTCCTCCCTCTATCTAGAGATGACTCTCCGCTTAACTATATAATTTCATAGACTTTCCCATTGCCCGGCCACATTGCCCGGCCAGATGGCCAAAGGATGCCAAAGGTATCCCCAAGTTGAATGGATTGATATAGCATGATGCAAGTCCTCAATAGATGTTGAATATATGATGTTTTTTTTAGCTGGGGTCCGAAAATTGGTACTCTAAAATCTCTATGGTTGACCATCATATACCATCATTTTCCCATATTTTCCAGGCCTCGAGCGATTGCATTCTCGATCCCAGCTCGGTCCCCCTGTGGCAGGGATCGGCCCAAAATCCCAATCAACCGATATGCAAAAATATGTGCATGCACATATATAATCCCCTCAACTACTAGCCTGGGACCCTGGGAATTCATTGTAGACCCTGACATTTGGGGTCTGATATGTTATTCCTTCAGTTGTTCTGAAATATTCACAGGTCAAAGTAGACCTACAAGGGGGGGATCCGTAGACAAAGGTCTAGCATGAAAGTACTTCTGCTCATGTCAAAAGACCATGTTGATCGAGATTTTCAGTTTAGACCTTTCAACCTTGACCTCACTGTCTGGAGCTCGAAGCTTGTCTTTTTCCCGCACGCGCTTTCCAGAAGTAAAGCTTGGCTTTTGGTTTCTAATGGGGTCTAGCAAGTTCTGGTCAGATATTCCTTTCCTCAACATCCACCAGTTAACCTTTGAGATGTTGTGTGGTTTAGAGTTTAGGGGTCCTCCTAGTCCTTCTGAACAGGGAAGGATGCGAGCATGGAAGACCAGCCAGGCAGACTTTGCATTCTGTTTGGAACTGGTTTTGGAATGAGCGTTTGGGGAATCCAGTGGGTCTGGAATGAAAGTCACATGCTGTTGGCGATGCTTCACTGACGCAAATGCTTTTGGGGAACCAGTTCAGACCCATCCCAAAAGGTCTAAGTCTAAGATTTGGGGACTGTCAGCGATAGCCTCTCACCGGGAAAGCTTGGCAACCATGATTTCAGACCCAGATGCATTTCCACCTCCTGATTTTTGGATGGATTTTGGTTTCTCATGGGTTGTAGCATGTTGGCCAGATATTCCTTTGCTCAACATCCACCACTAACCTTTGAGATGTTGTCTGGTTTAGAGTTTAGGGGTCCTCCTAGTGGAAGACCAGCCAGGCAGACTTTGCATTCTGTTTGGAACTGGTTTTGGAATGATCGTTTGGGGAATCCAGTGGGTCTGGAATGAAAGTCACATGCTGTTGGCGATGCTTCACTGACGCAAATGCTTTTGGGGAACCAGTTCAGACCCATCCCAAAAGGTCTAAGTCTAAGATTTGGGGACTGTCAGCGATAGCCTCTCACCGGGAAAGCTTGGCAACCATGATTTCAGACCCAGATGCATTTCCACCTCCTGATTTTTGGATGGATTTTGGTTTCTCATGGGTTGTAGCATGTTGGCCAGATATTCCTTTGCTCAACATCCACCACTAACCTTTGAGATGTTGTGTGGTTTAGAGTTTAGGGGTCCTCCTAGTCCTTCTGAACAGGGAAGGATGCGAGCATGGAAGACCAGCCAGGCAGACTTTGCATTCTGTTTGGAACTGGTTTTGGAATGATCTTTTGGGGAATCCAGTGGGTCTGGAATGAAAGTCACATGCTGTTGGCGATGCTTCACTGACGCAAATGCTTTGGGGGAACCAGTTCAGACCCATCCCAAAAGGTCTAAGTCTAAGATTTGGAGACTGTCAGCGATAGCCTCTCACCGGGAAAGCTTGGCAACCATGATTTCAGACCCTGATGCGTTTCCACCTCCTGATTTTTGGATGGATTTTGGTTTCTCATGGGTTGTAGCATGTTGGCCAGATATTCCTTTGCTCAACATCCACCACTAACCTTTGAGATGTTGTGTGGTTTAGAGTTTAGGGGTCCTCCTAGTCCTTCTGAACAGGGTGGATGCGAGCATGGAAGACCAGCCAGGCAGACTTTGCATTCTGTTTGGAACTGGTTTTGGAATGATCTTTTGGGGAATCCAGTGGGTCTGGAATGAAAGTCACATGCTGTTGGCGATGCTTCACTGACGCAAATGCTTTTGGGGAACCAGTTCAGAACCATCCCAAAGGGTCTAAGTCTAAGATTTGGGGACTGTCAGCGATAGCCTCTCACCGGGAAAGCTTGGCAACCATGATTTGCATGCGCTTCCAGAAGTAAAGCTCAGAGTATGTTCCAGGATAAATCCATTTGAACATATAAGATATTGGCAAAAGGTCTGACATGGATTTCCCAATGTCAAAATGTCTAAAGCTCGCAGGGTCTAACGTGAAAATACGGACGTACAAGTCAAAGGTCTACTATGAAACCAACACAAAGGTCTACAATGATTTGGGCACCAGTCTAGACCCTCCATTCGGAAATCCCTAAGGGTCATGTATATTAGACCCTCAGTAGTTGAGGGTATCATATATATATATATATTATATTGTATTATATTAATATATTACTCATTACTCTAATATCATCATTATATAATAGCAATGTGTGTGTAACATACCCCAGCTCAAAATAGCCCACAAGGATCCAAAAGGGGATTCAACCCAGTCCTTACATCAAGAATCTGCATTCATCCGGACACCTAAAGAATCCTAAAGACCTAAAGCTGCAGTGCTGCAGTCAGCTGTGTCTGGCCCCAAATAAAAAATTGCATGGTCTGTCTGCCTGGCACATTTTTTTTGGATCCGCTGATGTGCGACTTCGCTAGTTCTCTGTGTTGCTGAGAAAATTGAAAGCTGCACCCCAGGTGACTAACGAATGCTTTGTACCACACAAGGGGCTATGACAGCTCAAAATTGAAGTGCGCCGGTTGCGCGTTTTATTGGTGTCTGGCTGTCGGACTACACAACACGCAAGGCAAGGGGTTGCAAAGGCTCGGATGCAGGGCTGGATTTCTTATCTCAGTGGCTATCTTGTGATCTCATACGACCTCATGGTATGCGTAATTTCTATATGGCCCACCAAAACATACCAAAACGATCCAAAACAAACAGTAAACAGGCATGCTGCTTCAATCTGCTTCAAGACAAATTTCTAATAGTCTGTCCAACATCTGCGGGTTTTGTTTAAACCTTAAGAGCTCGCCAGTTCAACTTAATGAACTTAGCTCCCTCCCTGACTAGTTATGCCCCGCACCGGCTTCGTGCAAGCTTTGGATTTATGGCGCCCTCGGGGGATTGGGCCATGTGTGACCTCCAAGTTTTGGAGCCATGTTTCACACGCTCCAAGTTCTTGCAGGGCCATCGCAACACTGGGTGATCACCACAAGCCCGTTCTCTGCAATGTCCTCAGTCCCAGAGCAAATGTGACAGAAACATACGGAAACATAGACTCTATTCTTGTGGAAGGCCCCGAACGATGAGGTCATCTCTTGAAGCTCTTTCTAACTTAATTTCCAGCTGCCAACCTTACCAACCCTTGCAAAGACCTTTCCACGCTTCTTGTGTCAAGTATCTTCTGCGCTCCCTCATACCTTAGCCAAAACTCTTGTTGGACCCACACTTGCAAGGCAACTCCTTCCTGTCTGGGGTTCCACGTTGAGGCCACGGCGCGCCGAAGAAGATGAATCCACCCACCGTGATCCAAGTGACTCGAGGACCAATTCCTTTAAAGAGTCCTTCAGGGAGGATGTGTGACGCAAGTTGGTTCAACATACTTGGGCCGTGTTGGGCCGTGTTGGGCCATGCTGGGCAATTGGGCAGCTGCAAGCCGTCCTTGAACACCTTCCTCTGCAAAAATGGTGCTCAGGGCTTGGACCGTTCCACCATACTTTCTGACAGCCTCGACACGCAAAGGTGGTGGGAGCAAGGAACGGGCAATCATCAAGGAAGTATAGTCAAGCAGTCAAGCACACTGCTTTGGTATTGCACTTTGTGAAACTGAAAAGTCTGAGTATGTCTTGGGGACTATATTTGTGGGGACACCGCACCAAGATTTTTCGATCCCCCAATTTTTTGTGTCTTTTTTAACCTCGGCAGTCTGGGGAATTCTGAGAATAGGACTCCCTCTTCCACCTTCTCAAGCATGATCCGCGTTTTGGCCACGTCCAAGGGGGTCGTTACCCCTCCAGCAATGCCGCCAGCAACTGATCCACATGCAGCGCCTGGGCCAAATCCAGGGGATGGTCATGGATGACATGTCAATGGGGGGAAGCAATGGTTAAGTGATGTTAAGTGCCAGTGAGTGGGACTTTTTGGGCAAAACCCAATCAATCCGAATCTTGTTTGTATAGATGTTGGGTGATGTTGGATTGTCCCGGAGAAAGTAACTGTTTGCTGGATTCTTCTCGCAGGGTGACATGGGTAGGGTCACAAGGCGCCTTGCAACGCAGTAGTTTCACTGCCCTGCTTCTCTGCAATGAATTTCTTGAACCTCTCAACGCTGAGCATCAACACTGGCAGCCATTCACTGTGAGATCTGTGAGTGGCTTCAGCAACTGGGGTGCTAAACAGCAGCAACAAATCTCCAAGTCCCTGGCCCCTCATAGAGTGGGAATTGGATGAAGGAGAAAGGTATTTCTCTCATCACCTGAGATCTCAGCAGCAAGAGTTGAAAAACACATAAAAAAAATTAAGAATTTGGCGAAGAGCGTCTGGAAGTTCATTATAATCATAGTCTAATGTTTGGGTGGCGGTGGTGGTGTTCTTTCTTCAACCTCCAATAAACAAGCATAATTGAGGCGTTCAAGCACTCCTCATGGCATCTTTGAGGACACCACCATTGTGCCGTAGCCAACGTAAAATGCTCCCACTCCTCCGGTCTTCTGGATGGCAGAAACTGCTTCTGTGAGCCTCCTGGGCTTTCAACGGGGCGTGGTGTGCGGTTTTTTTCGGCTTTTCTGCCTCCTCGTATCTCATGCATCTCGTTAACTTTGCCCGCTTTTGAGGCGGAAAATCCTCAATGCACCTTGCCTCCCTATGTAGTTGTAATGGCTGGGAACACTGAATGGTAATCATTGACAGCCAAGAACATGACCATGAAAGGCCCTGTTTGCATGTCATTGCTGTCGCCCCGCACGCTGAAGCTTGAGATGAGGTTCGTAAATCTGCCCACTTGCATATTTTGGGTGATGTTGGCAGTGGGCACCTCAGATCCCCCAATCCCCAGCCACCGCATGTGGAAGGTGATGTGGTGCGAGAACCGATCTGGATAAAGAAGAAGTCCCGCTGCAATGCTGCATAGAACTGAAAACATCTCAACCAAGTTCGGGGTGGATGTCCAGGAGATCATTACTTGACACCAAATTTCAAAACATATCAAACATATTCAAAAATGATTTCAGCAAATCACGAAATGATTGATACATTGACACTAAATGACACTAGAAATTCCCCAAAAACCTCATTGGGCCATACATGGCCAACCGACAACCGATCCATACTTGGGGAAGCCGCAGATTTTCACCAAGCAGCTCGCACCAAACAAGCCATCACCTCACCACAGGAGGATGCAGCGGCGTGGTGCATTGGGTGCTCCTGCAGGGGTTCAACCATTGAACCATCCGATGTGGCTGTCCCCATGGTTGATCCATATTAGTCCACATAAGTCACATAAGTCACATAAGCAAGACTTTACTGCAAGAGGTCGGTTGGATCCAAAGGTTCCTTGCCAAGTTTGGCAGCTTGACAAGGGATCCACTTCTGGTTTTGTCGGAGCTGTGGGCAGTGACTTCATCACAGGCACAATCCGAACTGGATTCTTGGGCATATCCCAAGTATATCCCCATCATATCCCCATTGTTGTTGGTTTTATACCTCCATTTTTCATCATTTTTCCACATCCCACCCCGGGTACCCAGGTCGTTGCCCTTCTCCTTATCGCCAGACATGGTCTTCATCACCTGCAGGTGACAGGGCCTAGGTGAAGTAGCCCCAAGGTGTGATGGATGGGATCAAATAATATTTAAAAAACCGAGCCAGTCAACCAAACGGAACCAAAATGATGGAAAATCGTCAAAAATACTGAAGTGCTCACAATTTCTTTCACCATGAACAGTTGATCAATATCCTGCCGCGCCTTCTTCATGGTCTCGTATGTGGAGAAGAACATCGCTGCACCAGGAGCAGAGCCCATGGCAGCTGACAAAATGCCCTTGTAGGCCCCGCGAAAGCCACCTGCCGTGGCGCAGCCGTGGTTCTCCCATCAATTCATGGACACTAAGTCGCTAAGTTTGGATTCAGGTTCTGATGCCAAGCACTGAGTCAAATATCCCCCACCTGATGCCCAGAAGCCTTTCTCCGATTGCAGGCGCGTTCGGAAGGTGTCCAGTGGATGCAGCGCGCAGTCCACTGTGGCTCCGGCAATGCCACCGGAGATAAGCGCCTCGGGCGGAAGGAAGTCGGAAGCGCCGTGCTCCAAGAGAACGGTCTAAAGTTCAATCTTTGATGATCTATACTATCTACTATCGTTACATATTATATCATATTATCTACTCAAAAGATCTCAAAACTATATATATATATCTAAACGTATTTAATCTAATCAGTTTAACTTATCATAATCTCGGATACTTGAATCAAAGCATTCTTCCTGCAGGCCAGGTGACTAAGGTGAATGGCACATCCGCCATTGTGCCGGTGGAACGAGGATGGAAAAAAGCGAGATTGAAGCAAAAATGCTGCCATATGCTGCCATTGTGCCATCATGTCAACCAGCTCAGGCACTCAGTGATTGCACATGATTGCACCTCTAAATTCTCTAGCTCAACCGAAATTCATGTGCCGCAACTCACCCAAGACCAATTTTCAGTTGCATCATCATCTTCACATCATGTGTGACCTGAGTGTCTCTGAAAATTTGGTTTTGCCCGAAAAAATCCATCGAAATGGTTCATCCTCCTTTTCCCACAAAAAAATGACATTTTTGGGGCGCCTTTCTGCAGAGAGGAATCAGCACCAGGGAATTGGCCACGGCCGCAATCAAGGGTCGCTCCGGAGGAGGTGCCGGGGGAGCAGGTGCCTCCCAAAAATCACGGGGAAAAACCCATGGAAAAATCATGGAAAAAGATCAACTGGGTTGGTTTTGGATCTTGACTGGTTTTAGCCACAAACCATGATTTTGTAACCACGTTTTTTTTGAGCTTCCAATATAGGGGGGTCAGGATTTGTCAAATTCAAACCACTTCTGGGGATTTTTTGATGGTCATCAAGAATCTGACTTCTCCATCGCCTTCTCGAAGAGTTGGGGTTCCCATTTTGATAACACGGATTTGATTTTTTTTTGGGGAGGTACTCACTGACTTAATCCACCATGGTTTATAAACAAAAGGCCAATATATGCCGACTCCACTATTTTTGACTGCGCCCTCCACACTGATCTATTATATAAACATGTTTTGTGTATTTTTGTGTCGTGTGTAAGCTTCACATCAGCTGACCCAAGTGGGTGCACGTCTCCATTCAGGAGTAATCATGTTTTGCATATCAAGACTGTATTTAAATTTAATCCCTTGGTCAGAATAAACGGGTATAGTGCGTAAACTGAAATACACCACTGGACTGGATTTCGCTGATAATCATGATTATTATCATTGTTATCATAATGATCAGTACTCTCTCTCTCTCTATAGTCATCTATAGTCACTATCACCATTGGATTTCCCTGCATGGTTTCCCCAATTTCCGATGACCCCATTTCTGGAAGTCACTAAGTCTGGTGCCGGTGAAAAACCCAGCTGCTCGAAAGAAGCCTCCTCGGTCACGTCCAGTGAATGACTCCCCCCTTTGCCCCAATACACGGTGTTCATCAAGAAGAAAAACACTTATCATAGTTGTCCAAATTATGATCATTGGGGTATTACGTGGTATTATTGTATAGTTGTGATAACTGGATGTAATTGGGGGGTCTCATCATATACCCGTAGCAGAATCAACATGCACAGCTCATTCTCAGCCCGAAACCTCGGCGGCCCGCTGCCGGGAATACCACCTGGGATGATGGACATTCCGAATATCTAAAATGGAGGTAACCAACATGTCATGTATCTAAATCTCAGATGCATATATATATATATATGTGTGTGTGTGTATATATATATGTATATGTATATGTATATGTATATGCGTATGGATGCATGCATGCATGCATGCATGGATGGATGTATGTCTGTCTGTCTGTCTGTCTGTCTGTATGTATGTATGTATGTATGCATATACCAGTAGTACCGCACAAGGCGGTGGCGGAAGTTTCAGAAATAGGAAACCTATAGGAGAGGTTGGTTGTTGTGAATCACGGATGGCAGAGCGAAGCCACTGATGGACCGAAAGGTGCTTGAGGTCTCCTCTCTTTCTCTCTCTTTCTCTGACTAACTACCTACCTACCTATGTATCTATCTATCTATCTGTCTATCTATCGATCTCTCTCTCTCTCTCTCTCTCGCTCTCCGTACCTATCTATCTATCTATCCATCCATCCATCCATCCATCCATCCATCTATCTATCTCTCTAGCTCTCTATCTCTATCTCTCTATCTATCTATCTATCTATCTAACTATCTAACTATCTAACTATCTAACTATCTGACTATCTGACTATCTGACTATCTGACTATCTGACTATCTGACTATCTATCTATCTATCTATCTATCTGTCTGCAAGCTTGAAAACGCAGCAATTTCTGCGAGACTTCCTCAGCTTTTGAACTTGACAGCATCAAAAACGAAACAATTCTGCGAGACTTCCTCATTTGTCAAAGGTGACAACATCAAAAACGAAGCAATTCTGCGAGACGTCCCTCAAAAATGGAAAGTTGAGTGCAGAGCTGACGGCCTCGTACCATTGCGCTTTGCGATTTTTAAACCACTGCGCCCGCCACGAAAAAGTGATGCCAGGTCATACGAAGTGCTGCACCTGTCACGCAAAATCATCTCAGCAAACCTGAAGATCTGATGCTCCAAAATGCAACCCGTCTCAGGAAATCAGCGCCCGGACCTCCGAACAGCTCTGATGAACATGTCTCTTGTACTGCGCCTGCCACGCGAAATCCATCTTTGCAGATCCTCGTCAAATGGCCCATGCCTGCCATCGTTTTTGGAAGTGCTACAAAGAACCCTCACATGTTGCTCACTTTTGACAAGGTGCATTGTGCGTGCCACGCGAAAGCACATCTGAACGTCCAAAAGCGCTCCGTACCCCACAGTTTTTTCCACTTTTGACTTTGAAATGTGCTTTGTGCCACAACGGCGTGCACTTTTTCGACATCTCAACTTCCAAAAGTGGTCCGGAGCTGGTGTGCTTTGTACATTTTGACTTCGAAATGTGCTTCGCGCCACAACGGCGTGTACTTTTTCGACATCTCAACTTCCAAAAGTGGTCCGGAGCTGGTGTGCTTTGTGCATTTTGACTTCGAAACGTGCTTCGCGCCACAACGGCGTGTACTTTTTCGACATCTCAACTTCCAAAAGTGGTCCGGAGCTGGTGTGCTTTGTACATTTTGACTTCGAAATGTGCTTCGCGCCACAACGGCTTGCACTTTTTCGACATCGCAACTTCTAAAAGTGCTCCGGAGCTGAGGTGCTTTGTACATTTTGACTTGGAAATGTGCTTCGCCCCACAACTGCGTGCAATTTTTCATCTCTCATCTGGCCAGCTGGCTCCGCACCCGCCGCTTTAGCGAGCCTACTTTTCGACCCTCCGGAGCCACAAATCATTGGAAAAACACAGTGTTTCGCAACTTTCCTACCTTTTTGCGCACTTGGATCTTCTTTCTTCTGAGACTTTCTCTTTTTTGATATTCTTTCTTCTTCTCTTCTCTTCTCTTTTTGATCTTCTTTCTTCTCTTCTCTTCTCTGACTCTTCCCATCTCTGCTTTTCATCTGTATTGTCGGAAGTTTCACTTCTAAATTTCGTTCGGTAATAATAATAATAATCATCATCATCATCATAATCATAACAATAATTAGTAGATAATGATAATAATAGATTTAAAAAATAGTAATAATGATAATATACATACATATAGTACATAATATATGTATATACATATATTAAGATCCATATAATCTACATATATATATAGTATTAAAAATACAATAATAATAAATATATAATAATAATCATCATAATAATAATAATGATAATAATGATGATAATGATAATAATGATAATAATAATGATGATGATACCAATAACAATAATAATACGTAGTAATATGGATTGTCATGGAATATTCTCCTGATAATACACCTGTTTTGTGTTTTTTAATGGTGCAGTGCAGTACATGCAGTTCATTCACCCGCAATGTGCGTTGATTTAGGAATGCCAGGGTCTCCTAGGGTGAATCCTGGTGGGAACTCCATCCCACAACCCCACGTGAGGTTATTTCTCATCTGCAGTAGATCTGAATGGGTCAAAGTTGGGTGCCCAACTAACCATCAAACAACCATCAACTAACCAGCAACCGCCAGGGCCCCGTTTCAGCATCTGTTGAGGATCCGGCTCAGCTGACGGCACCGGTGCACGGCCCGGCGCGTCGCCGCCGTGGCCGCCGTGGCCGCCGGGCGGTGGCGGAGGGGGCGGAGGGCTGGGGTGCATGGGACCTCGGTCTGGGGCTGCCCTGGGAATCCCATGATTTTGAGGAACAAATATGAAAAAATGAAGGTTAAACCATGGTAAAACCCATAAGGATCAAGTTTAACTCAAAATATGTCGTTAAACCTTTTAGTGAACTAGAGGGACGAATGGCCCGACTAACCAACTGGAAGAAAGTCAATCATACTATAAAATAATATAAAAAAATATACATTGGTTGGTTGGTTAGTACATATACTACAGCTGAGTCAAAGTTGTGCTATTCCCTTTGCATGCCTGCCAGTCACTCCCAGCACGGTCGGCCACAAAAAAAATGTAAGGCGGTCTGAATATCAAAGGCTTATGACTTAGCCCAAACATGTGCAAATTGTCCTACTTGTTTTTGTTCATACAGGTCCATTCAGTTTACCAAATTACGCGCCGATAATAGTTTTATCAAGCAACACCCAAAGATTTTTTTCTTGGGCATCGTTTAAAGATGCTGAGAACAGAATCAGGTTTGATCCGAGTCCATGGCCGGGGCTCCACCAAAAGGATTGATGCGAGTAGCCAACTCATGTCAGCTTGAGCCTTAACGCCGCGTAAAATCATCTGAGCAGTGGAACGAAAAGCGATTGGAAACTCCTCAGGGGCATCTGAGACCCAGAACACCCGATAAGTTTAGAGTTTAGAGCTACGTTTAACAAACATCATCAAACATCAGGAGAATAATGAATGGGAAATGGATGGAAATGGACGGAAATAGTATGGAACGGCACAATATGCATCCATATGTCACAAAGCTTCTTCCGGCATCATGAATATTCGATGACTTGTGGCTTGGGGGTGGGGCTTCTCCCTTTTCCGGGACATGCCCACATGCAATAGTGTCTTTTGATCCAAACCGCGCACCCTCAGTGCACAGGATTTGGCAGCGCCAAGCATTTCAAAGCACTGGATTTGGCCCACCCCGAAAACAAAGAGAGATGGGAAAAAGTACTCGAAACCTCAATAAACCTTCAATCACTGCAAGCAAAAACTGCGATTGCATGCAAGCAGTTATTAAGAGTAGCTGGCTCCTTCAGCCGTTGCATTCACCAATGTTTTCAGGGGCGGGAAACTTCTGCTGATCCGGGGCTCACAGGTGTGTGCTGTGGCACAATCACCTCTTTGGTCGTGCATCTGAGCTTTGGCAAGACAGCGTGCCCCAGGATTTCCACCTGGCACAGCGCGAGAATGCCACCCCCCTATATAGATCTATATAGGCCCTAGGTCTTGATGATGCTACAAACTGAAGGTGGCCTTCCAAGAAGTCACAGAGAGAGGAAGCCAAGGTCTCAGTTTTTTGCTTGTCGCGGTTGTTCGCTTATGTCAAGAGGAAAAGATTTCAGGCCCTTTGAGGCTGGGATTTGTTTTGCGAATTCCGAAGGTCCAAAGGAATTCCCAGTGGATTTCAAACGTCGCGCCGTGCCGAACTGTTGCCTGGGTTCTACTGTGATGGCACCATCCAAGATCTTGGTCTGTAATTTTTCTAAACCTCCAGGTCAACAACAGCAGAAAATTCAGTGACAAAACACTCCCTCGGCTGTGCCTGGGTCACTGTTGCATCCAGAAATGCTATGAAAAAGATCACCAAACTCATGTAAAAAAGCTGCAACAAAAAGAATCATATTTCTTTGTATGCAAGGGCTGCAACACTTGGGTGCCTTTACGGCACAGTTCACATTTCCTAATGTCAAGCTTGGGTTTGGCTCAAAATCAGGGGATTGCCACGCAAACAATCTCAGTTTCTGAGCTTGTGCAGGGGTCTGCCTCAAACATCAACACAGAACAGGTTTGAGCCACAACAATTTTGAAAAATTGCTAGCGTCGAAGCTGCACAACACCGTCTCGGCGGGTAGTGGGGACAAACTCAAAGACATCTAAACGAATGTCCAGAGTCGACAAGTTACTTGGAATCAAAGAAATGAGCCGCGTCAGGGTATCATCATCCATCTGCTTGAGGTTGCTGTGGCAGCGGTGCTGAATATGATTCCTCGCGAATGGCAAGTGGATGCAAGTGGCTTCGGTTTTCGTTCGTCTTGAATCAACAAACTGAAAAATGTGGCCTGTGTTTTTCTCACAGCTCATTACTCTCATGCATGTATGATTTTTTTGTAATTCTTCAGAATCGGTTTCATGATGGTCGGGAAGACTCGGCACCTGGATGCACCTGGCATCTCTTCGCGCCACGGTGTCACAACATCTTGAGACGATTAAATCCTACTTGTCTGCCTGGTGCGTTTTCCCGTCCCTCCGTACAATGCCATGACCAACGGGCCTTATATAATCCTCCCGACTCCGCCCAGTGCAGAAACGGAAACACAAGTGTTTAACAAAAACAGTTCAACCATGTTTCCTGGTTTCTATCCCCACATTTCCACATTGATTTTCCACAATTCATTCTGATTGGTTCAACCCTCCCCAAAACATTGGATTCCACATTCCACATGAATCCACATCAACCCCCAACCCCCAACTCCCAGCACCTCAGATCCCAATAGCTGGTGGGCCGCTGGATCGCCAGCACCTGCGTCGGCCGCGAGCTGCCCGCCGTGCCACTGCCATCCTCGCCAAAGCCCACGGAGTAGTAGGTGGAGTTGAACTCCTCGAGACGGACGATTTTTTGGTGGAATGTAGGACCCAACCTCCAAAAAATGGATAAATGATGAATGGATACTGTAAAATACTGGAGAAGACAGGCAGGTTAAAATTGTTCAAAGAAAGAAAAAGAATTGCGTAAGGGAGTTCTCAGTGGGAAGGTTTAGAGTCAGAGATTTTTGGTGCCGGGAAACCCTTGGGTGCGGTTGGGCGGTGGTGTGGATCTCATGGGATCCCTGTCCTCGTTCCCGAACAACATGGAACTTTTGGAGAAGCCTCAGACACTCTCATTGCGTGAGCCACCAATTGCCCACTGGTGAGCCGCCCAGGAAAAAAAAAACTCCCGACAGGATCGCAACTCACTTGGGACTATCTTCCTGAACAGGGATAGGGGAGTCAAAATATGTGCAAATACCGAGAAAACATCACATGACGAGAAAACATCACATGACAATTTTGCACATATGGACTAATATGGACCCCGCTCTTCATTGCGAGTTGACTCAACAAGGCAACAACCTGATCAGCACGGAAATCCGATGCATCTTACACCAACCAGGTTTCTATCACACCTTCGAGTACGTTAAAGGCATTGGATGTATTGTAGCTTTATATTTTTGGTAAGGACACTAGGACTAGAGCCACTAGAAGAAGCCAAAAGATGGATAGGCAGGCAAACAAACAGGCAGCTGCAAGCACATGGGGAGATAAGAGAGGGAAAGAGAGAAAGAGAAAAAGAGAAAGAAGAGAGAGGGAAAGAGAGGGAAAGAGCGGGAAAGAGAGAGAGAGAGAGAGACGCCATGACTCAGTCCTGTTCACAGAATATATATATATAGTAATATAGTAATATATACTGTAGTATATATTATATTATTTATTATATATATATATGCTCCACGTATTATCGTATAGTATATCAAGGTGTATTAGACGCACGTAATTGCACATGTATAACACATGACTTTCCATGCGCGCGTGTCTCAGCTGGGAGGCTGAACCAAATGGCCCGACCCGTTGGGGTCAGCACACGGGCAAGCTCCTGGGGAAGGACATGCTGGTTACATCCCAAACAACATAAATGACTCGAAATGACCATAAACCAACGGGGGGGTTTTGGCTAACGCACATGTGGAGGGGGAGTCTTCAATATTCTTCAAGAACAAGAAAACAAACGGAGCCTTGAATCTATGTAGCATAGTGTAGCGTAACATACAGTCTCCGGACACAGAGGTAGCAATGAACCCATGACTCTATGAAATTATTGGGTGCAAACCCAGCTCGTGCGATGGCAAAGCCGCTACCCACAAGGCTTCCAGCTTTCAAATGACTTCAACTGGCCCTTTCAAGTAACTAACCCGCAAGAACGACACAAACAAACACGCGTGGCCCCACCAACCAAAAAGAATATGGTGGCGGTCCCGATCCAATTGTTCTCGATCCATGAAGTGAACGGCAAAGGTGGAGATCACCAAATCTAGACTCTGGTCTGGCTGTGCAGCAAGAAAGTCCACACCGTCAGCCTTCACAATCCTCACATTTTCAAGGAGGTCAGCGCTGCTTGGCTGCTGTGATGAGGACCTTTTGACTCAAAATGTTGATGAACTTTATGAACTTTGTAGGACTCTTGAAAGACCATGGTCCTAAAGTAAAAGCTTGTTATTGGGATGCTGTTAGCCATCACAGCTGGCCCTGGCTACTCAAATGACTCTTTTGTTGCTGAACATCTTTGCACCACATACTCCCCATGCCAAGAGGCAGCTCTGAACAGGCTTCGGGCGGAAAAGGATCCTTGGCCAAGTCAAGGTGAGCAATGATGGCAAGATATCATGGCAATCCCAACTGAAACCCTGGTGGTTTATGGATGCGTAGTAGGAATGGGCTCGCCACTCACCGGTTTAATGGAGATGATTGGCTATTCCAATGTGGAAGTACCCCTCAACCAATTAAATTAAGGGACATTGATTCGATTCAATTGAGAGACGAGTCTCCTGATGCTGCCACACCGTTGCGTTGCCGAAAATCCTAGCGAACTTGCTGCCGAGATACGACATTGCTCATCCTCTCTGCCTGTCAAATCTGTCAAAGTGTATATATATCTCGTGTCATTGACTCGTTCAACCATTACCAAAACCGGCAAACAAAGAACAAGAATACGGAACAAAAGAACATCAAAATGGCACTCGATGACAATCTGACCTGGTACACCCAGAGTCTTTGCCCCATACCCCATCATATTCACACCGATTCACACCATGGCCTGCAGCAGCTTCCCCAGAGTTCCATCGCCGGCTCCGAGGTCCGCCACTGCCTTTCCTTGCGAAAAGGGCAGACAGTGCTCCGCAATGGCAGCCCACATGCCTCGGCAACTGGGCCAGCTGAGCTCCCATGACAGGGCCTGAAACCTGCAGCTTTCCATACATGAAAGATTTGGGAGGTGAAGAAGGCCCAAACAACGTCCGCACTTGAACCTTGTCTCAGTCTCTGCTATCAGTTCTGGGTGCCACACAATCGTGATTTGAGATATTGTGCCTCACCACAGGCGGAGACCAATCATGCTGCAGCCACCAGGTTTGGGAATGCAGACAAACATCAAATGTTGGGCCCTGTCCACCACTTGATCTTGGGTTTCAATTCTCATCTTCAGGGTTGGAATGGCTAAATAACTTGTAGCTCAAGCGGCATGTCCAGGGATCATCCCGGGCCCACAGGATCTGCCGAGGCACCTGACATGCGCTTCCGCGATGGTTGGATCCCAGCTGCGGGGCAGAGAACTCTCGAAGCTCTGCATGCTCAGCAGCGAGGCCGTGCAAAAGGAGCGCAGCGCAGGGGACCCCTGGGGCCAGCTGGCAATTTGTGGTTTATTTTGGTTGATGAGCTATTTTCAGAGGGTTAGAGGGTTCTGGCAACTTTGGCCATTTCTCTTGTGGGTTTCAAGATGTTTCCATACAGACTGGTAAAACGAATGTAGTTGTTGTTAAAATAACTATATACAGTCATACACAGTGATAAAATCATGATGACAAATATATAATGTTCAATGATCAACATGCACAGATTGGGCATTGAATGCATTCCACGGGGCCTGTGCGGGTCTCAGGCCCTGGGCGCACTGGGCCGCCCTGGGCCTCACAGCCGGCAGCACCCGTCTGAGCCAAGTCATTATGCTGCGGAATGGCGAAATGGGGAGGGTTGTGTTTCAAGTAGAGAACCCACCAAAAAAAAGAAGAAGAAAAGTATAATTTACATTAATTTACATTAATTCACGATCCTTTACATGGTTTTCCATTGTTACATCATATGTTTTATTTGGACTTCACTTTTCTGTCATTTTGGGAGGTGCGACAAAAAATAACCCACTGATGCCCATGGTGCAATGGGATGTTTAGCAGTGTTGAGCGAGCATAATGAAGAAAGATGCGTGGCCATGGTAGGACCATGACCGAAGGATGCCAGAGCAGATGTGGCAGCCCAGGAAGTGGAGAACATTGTGAAACAATAACCCATTCCGACCAATGGAACTCTTCTGGCACGCTCCGCTCCGAAACAAGGAAAATGACACATCACACCGAGCCGCTCCCACAAGCCGAAGGAAAGCCCAATTGAAGGACAGCAAAAGCACAAGCACCAAAGGCAAAAAGTTGACAGCACGCCCTACAGGAGAAAGAAACAAAAACATGCAAGCCTTGCTGCAGCAACAAGCAACAAACCCAGTGAGACATGCAATCTCTCAAACCTGAAAACCCAACAGATTTCGCCCAGTCTGGACGCACGTTTTCTCATCATTGCTGTACAAAATTGATCAAGTGCGTCTGTTGACGATTGAAGTTCATCTGTTTACTGATTGATTGGACCTACCCCCAGCCCCACAAACAGTTGCCCATGCCCTGGTGGCATTGAGGGATGTCCAATTGGCACTGCCTCTGTGAGAAACAAGGACCAGAACGCCTCAGCTGCGCTACTTTTCTCATCTTTCTCTGCACTGTGCGGCTGGGCTTAAAGTGGACTTTACATAGGTACTACCAGTACTCGTAGGTCCGCCTACCGCAGTGCTGTACTCTGCTGCTGTTCTAGAAGAAATAATTCAAGCAATCACAGAGCTCGCACCCAAAATTGACCGAACCATTCCACGCTGTGAAAGCCATACAACTAGCAACTAGACACCTGGTGCCAGCTCCTTAGCAGTTTCTCTACCCTGTCAGTTTGAGAATGGGCCGAACGCCAATAGCTATTCTTTTGCCCAAACCACTATGTACACTGTACTTCTGTAAAGTTTTGCACCTGAATTCGTCGCCCAAAAGCTGCTGCGACGCTGCTTGGTGACCTAGCGATGAAAGGAAGAGATCCGATCAACTGCTGTGCTGAACAGCGACTTCTGCGCTGATCAATTGCTCGGCTTCATCTCGCCAGTGGTTTCGGGCTCCGGGCATGGCCCGGTGTAGCATGCAGCTTCAGGGTCCTGCGCAGATCATTGGGAAAATCATTGGTTTCCAGTCCTCTTCCTATCCCATGTTTGGATTTTTTGATCAGTCCATCCTAGATTTCGGAGATTTGCGTTCAATTTCAGTGGTGTACTGCCCACCGCCCCATCCCCACAGCATCCACATCCTGAGAGGGTCGGAGCGAGGAGGTGGCCGTGCTTTGAGTCTCAACGCTTCCAGCTGTCCTGGGCAGTGACCGTTCAAGTGCACTACGGACAAGTGGTGAATCACGTCAGAGGAGTCTGCAATGGACAGAAAGTCAGCAATTATCCTGGCAAGAGACCCCAAACAGCGTGGGGGAGTGGGAGGATAATGCAGGATAATGTTGAGGATGAGGATCAGGATGAGGATGATGATGATGATGGTGGTGGTGGTGATGATGATGATGACGACGACGATGATGTTTATGATGTTTATGATGTTTATGATGTTTATGATGTTTATGATGTTTATGATGTTTATGATGATGTTGGGGACGATAATGTTGAGGAGGGTGATGAAAAGGATGATAATGTTGATGTTGCAGAAGATGAGGTGGAGGTTGATGATGTTGATGATGTTGAGGATGATGGGGTCAAGGGGGAGGAAGATGATGATGTTGAGAATGATGATGTTGAGGAGGAGGAAGATGGTGATATTGAGGATGATGATGTTGAGGGCGAGGACCGATCCAAAGACCGGGAACCATTTACAGGTAAAATGCCGCCGACCAAGACCGGGGACCATACTGTATGCGAGCCTGCGATCGGATTTATCGGGATTTGCAGGTAAAATGCCGCGGCCCAGAAGCAGGACCCGCACTTTGTGCAAGCCTGCACAAGGTCGAATCCAGGTCAACATTTCACAAAAGCCACTTCACACGGAAATTTACAGGAAAAATGTCGCGGCCCAGAAGCGGGACCCGCACTTTGTGCGAGCCTGCGCGGCCGAAATTCATGTCAACGTTTCACAAGCGACTTTATACGGAAATTGACAGGAAAAATGCCGCGGCCCAGATTGAGCCCAGAACGCAGACACATACTTTGTGCGAGCCTGCGCAGTCGAAATGCAGGTCAACATTTCACAAAAGCCACTTTATACGGAAATTTACAGTACAGGAAAAATGCCGTGGTTCGGCTGGAGCACCCTGATCAAGCACCGGCCTTTACACCTACTGTAAGAAGCCCTCAGTGTCAACACACTGTCTGGGGAAAAATCATGTCACATTCCTATCCTCAACTACGTGTGTATTTGGAGAAAAAACAACCCTGCCCATCCCTTCCCGCTGCCAAATATCTCTTGGGAAGGCCGATGCGGTATCTCTTCATGCTGAGGTTGGACATTGTTCTGGTTCGCTGCAGTGTTTGGACTCGTGTTGCCAGTAGTAATCAGGTATGGGTTAAACCTCACCCCGTCCTGATGCAGCAAAAAGTCAAACTCAGTCAAACCAAAGTCCAGCACCAGCAGCTGCATCGTGGCACATACTTTTGTTTGCATATTGCAACGGATGCATTTTTCTGCACATGCAAAAATACCTTGCATGAGAATAAAAGATGAAGCCCACGAACCCGAATGCTCACACGTATGTTAATGGTACAGATGTCAATACACATGGTTATGCACTCACGCACAATACCTTTCTGCAATAGTTTATTTGAACAGTCTTGTACATGTTCCCTTGTTACCAGTCTGCAGTGTGGAGTGTAAAGTGTAGAGTGGGGAGTGTAGAGTGTGTAAAGTGTAGAATGCGGAGTGTAAAGTGTAGAGTGTGGAGTATGGAGTGTAAAGTGTAGAGTGTGGAGAGTAGAGTGTGGAGTGTGGAGTGTAGAGTGTGGAGTGAGGAGTGTAAAGTGCAAAGTGTGGAGTGTAGTGAGTGTAAAGTGAGGAGTGTAAAGTGTGGAGTGAGGAGTGTGGAGTGTAAAGTGAGGAGTGTAAAGTGTGGAGTGAGGAGTGTGGAGTTTGTAAATTGTAGAGTGTGAAGTGTAGAGTGTAAGTGTAGAGTGTAAAGTGTAGAGTGTGGAGTGTAGAGTGTAGCGTGTGGAGTGTGGAGTGGAAAGTGTAGAGTGTGGTGTGTAGAGTGTGGAGTGTGGAGTGTAAAGTGTAGAGTGTGGTGTGTAGAGTGTGGAGTGTGGAGTGTAAAAAGTGTGGAGTGTAGAGTGTGGAGTGTGGAGTGTAAAGTGTAGAGCGTGGAGATGTGTGGAGTGTGGAGTGTAAAGTGTGGAGTGTAGTGTGGAGTGAGGAGTGCAAAGTGGAAAGCGTGGAGTGTAAAGTGTAAAGTGTGGAGTGTAGAGTGTTTAGTGTAGAGTGTAAAGTGTAGAGTGTGGAGTGTAGTGTAAAGTGTGGAGTGTGGAGTGTAAAGTGTGGAGTGTAAAGTGTGGAGTGAGGAGTGTAAAGTGTGGAGTGTGGAGTGTAAAGTGTGGAGTGTGGAGTGGAAAGTGTGGAGTGTGAAGTGTGGAGTGTAAAGAAAGGAGTGTGGAGTGTAAAATGTGGAGTGAAGAGTGTAAAGTGTGGAGTGTAAAGTGTGGAGTGTGGAGTGAGGAGTGTAAAGTGTGGAGTGTGGAGTGTAAAGTGTGGAGTGTGGAGTGAGGAGTGTAAAGTGTGGAGTGTGGAGTGTAAAGTGTGAAGTGTAAAGTGTGGAGTGTGGAGTGTAAAGTGTAGAGTGTGGAGTCTGGAGTGGAAAGTGTAAGTGTGGTGTGTAGAGTGTGGAGTGCGGAGTGTAAATGTGTAAAGCCTGGAGTTTAGTGTAAAGTGTAGAAGTGTGGAGTGTGAGTGTACAGTAAAGTGTGGAGTGTAAAGTGTAGAGTGTGGAGTGTAGAGTGTAAAGCGACGAGTGTAAAGTGTGGAGTGAGGAGTGTAAGTGTGGAGTGTGGAGTGTAAAGTGTGGAGTGTGGAGTGGAAAGTGTGGAGTGTGAAGTGTGGAGTGTAAAGTAAGGAGTGTAAAGTGCAAAGTGTAAAGTGTGGAGTGTAAAGTGTAGAGTGAGGAGCGAGGAGTGGAAAGTGTAGAGTGTAGTGTAAAGTGTGGAGTTTGGAGTGTAAAGTCTCAGGTGAGGAGTGAGGAGTGTAAAGTGCAAAGTGTAAAGTGTGGAGTGTAAAGTGTAGAGTGTGGAGTCTAAAGTGTAAATTGTGGAGTGTAAAGTGTAGAGTGTGGAGTGCGGAGCTTCCCCCATAGACACGGCGACGCCACAGGAAAACCAGACTCGAGACAAGACACGTGGATGCAGAAAAACCAGCATTTCGTACGAGACTTCCTCCAATTTTGACATTTTTGACACATTATCAAACAGGTTGGAATGTCACAAAGTGCCACACCTGCCACGCAAAACGACATGACAACTTCCTTGGAAACCTTCGAAAAGGAGAGGTTTTGCGGCTTCCCCCATAGACACGGCGAAGCCACAGGAAAACCAGAGACTCGAGACGAGACACGTGGGAGCACCAAAACGACCATTTCGTACGAGACTTCCTCCGATTTTGACACTTTGCAGCTTCAAAATCGACGTTTTCCTACGAGTTTTCCTTAGAACCCGAAAATTTGTAACATCAAAATCGATGTTTCGTGCGAGGCTTCCGTCAATTTTCAGCACATCGCACAAAATGCCACGCCTGCCACGGAATTTGCACCTTGTCGCCACTTGACGCAGCCCTGCCAATGCGATTTACAAAAAACACGCAAAAGGACACGTCTAAAGTGCTGCGCCTGCCACGAAAAATGACGATGGACACGTCCAAAGTGCTGCGCCTGCCACGAAAACTGCAACACATCTTCTGAAAACGTCGCAAAAGTATTGCGCCTGCCACGCGAAACGACTTTCGACACGTTCCAGAACACGTCTGAATGTCACGAAGTGCCACGCCTGCCACGCGAAACGAAGCAACCAGACGTCTGAAACCTCCAAAAAGGACCACCTCTGCAAAACTTCCCATAGGCACGGCCATACGGAGTTCGTACGAACGGTTGCGGACGGTTGCGGACGGTTGCGAACGGTTGCGAACGGTTGCGGACGCGGACGCAACGTCGAGCGAACACACTCTCAACCCCCAGACCCCCAGAGTGAAACGGGAACCCTTGCTACGCATTCGGGAAAAATACGAGACAGGACAGAACAAATATAATATAAGACAAAACAACATAACATTCTGTTGGTCCATCGCAATACATCGCAACACAATACAACACAACAATGCAATGCAACACTGCCCAGATCCCGTATTTAAAAAAGAAACAAGATGAAGCCCACGAACCCGAATGCTCACACGTATGTTAATGGCACAGATGTCAAAACACATGGATATGCAGTGACGCACAACACTTTTCTGCAATAGTTTATTTGAACAGTCTTGTTCATATTTCCCCTGTTACCAGTCTGCAGTGTGGAGTGGAAAGTGTAGAGTGTGGAGTGTAAAGTGTGGAGTGTGGAGTGTAGCGTGTGGAGTGTCGAGTGTAGTGTGGAGTGAGGAGTGTAAAGTGCAAAGTGTGGAGTGTGAAGTGTAAAGTGAGGAGTGTGGAGTGTGGAGTGAGGAGTGTGGAGTTTGTAAATTGTAGAGTGTGGAGTGTAGAGTGTAAAGTGTAGAGTGTAAAGTGTAGAGTGTGGAGTGTGGAGTGTAAAGTGTAGAGTGTCGAGTGTGGAGTGAGGAGTGTAAAGCGTAAAGTGTAGAGTGTGGAGTGTAAAGTTTACAGTGTGGAGTTTGGAGTCTAAAGTGTGGAGTGGGGAGTGTGGAGTGTGGAGTGGAAAGTGTAGAGTGTGAAGTGCGGAGTGTAAAGTGTAGAGTGTGGAGTGTGGAGTGAGGACTGTTAAGTGTGGAGTGAGGAGTGTAAAGTGTAGAGTGTGGAGTGCGGGGAAAGTGTAGAATGTGAAGTGTGGAGTGCGGAGTGTAAAGTGAGGAGTGTGGAGTGTGTAAAGTGTAGAGTGTGGAGTGTAAAGTGTGGAGTGTAAAGCGTGGAGTGTGGAGTGCGGAGTGTGGAGTGGAAAGTGTGGAGTGTAAAGTGAGGAAGGTGGAGTGTAGAGTGTGGAGTGAGGAGTGTAAAGTGTAAAGTGTGGAGTGTGGAGTGTAAAGTGAGGAGTGTGGCGTGTAGTGTGGAGTAAGGAATGTAAAGTGTGGAGTGTAAAGTGTAAAGTGAGGAGTGTGGAGTGGAAAGTGTAGAGTGTGGAGTGCAAAGTGAGGAGTGTGGAGTCTAGAGTGTGGAGTGAGGAGTGTGGAGTGTAAAGTGTGGAGTGTAAAGTGTAAAGTGTGGAGTGTGGAGTGTGGAGTGTAAAGTGCAGAGTGTGGAGTGGAAAGTGTAGAGTGTGGAGTGTAGAGTGTGGAGTGTGGAGTGTAAAATGTAAAGTGTGGAGTGTAAAGTGTGGAGTGTGGAGTGGAAAGTGTGGAGTGTGAAGTGTGGAGTGTAAAGTGAGGAGTGTGGAGTGTAAAGTGTGGAGTGTGGAGTGAGGAGTGTAAAGTGTAAAGTGTAAAGTGTGGAGTGTGGAGTGTAAAGTGTGGAGTGTGGAGTGGAAAGTGTAGAGTGTGGAGTGTGGAGTGTGGAGTGTAAAGTGAGGAGTGTGGAGTGTAGAGTGTAGAGTGTGGGGTGTAAAATGTAAAGTGTGGAGTGTAGAGTGCAAAGTGTGGAGTGTGGAGTGTAGAGTGCGCACTGTAGACAGTAAAGTGTAGAGTGTGGAGTGTAGAGTGTAAAGTGTAGAGTGTGGAGTGAGGAGTGCAAAGTGTGGAGTTTGGAGTCTAAAGTGTGGAGTGGGGAATGTGGAGTGTGGAGTGGAAAGTGTAGAGTGTGAAGTGTGGAGTGTAAAGTGAGGACTGTGGATTGTAAAGTGTGGAGTGTGGAGTGTGGAGTGGAAAGTGTAGAGTGTGGAGTGTGGAGTGTGGAGTGTAAAGTGAGGAGTGTGGAGTATAGAGTGTGGAGTGAGGAGTGAGGAGTGTGGAGTGTGTAAAGTGTAGAGTGTGGAGTGTGGAGTGTAAGTGTGTAGTTCAGAGTGTAAAGTGTAGAGTGTGGAGTGTAGAGAGTAAAGTGTAGAGTGTGGAGTGTAAAGTGTAGAGTGAGGAATGTGGAGTGTAAAGTGTGGAGTGTGGAGTGTAAAGTCTCAAGAAGAGGAGTGAGGAGTGTAAAGTGCAAAGTGTAAAGTGTGGAGTGTAAAGTGTAGAGTGTGGAGTGTGGAGTCTAAAGTGTAAATTGTGGAATTGTGGAGTGTGGAGTGTGGAGTGTAGAGTGTGGAGTGCGAAGCTTCCCCCATAGACACGGCGACGCCACAGGAAAACCAGAGACTCGAGACGAGACACGTGGGTGCAGAAAAACGAGCATTTCGTGCGAGACTTCCTCCAATTTTGACATTTTCGACACGTTATCAAACAGGTTGGAATGTCACAAAGTGCCACGCCTGCCACGCAAAACGGCATGACAACCTGCTTGGAAACCTTCGAAAAGGAGAGGTTTTGCAGCTTCCCCCATAGACACGGCGACGCCACAGGAAAACCAGAGACTCGAGACAAAACACATGGATGCAGAAAAACGAGCATTTCGTACGAGACTTCCTCCAATTTTGACATTTTCGACACGTTATCAAACAGCTTGGAATGTCACAAAGTGCCACGCCTGCCACGCAAAAGGACATGACAACCTGCTTGGACACATTCGAATAGGAGAGGTTTTCCAGCTTCCCCTATAGACATTGCGACGCCACAGGAAAACTAGAGACTCGAGACGAGACGCGTGGGAGCACCAAAACGAGCATTTCGTACGAGACTTCCGGCAATTTTCACAGTTGGCAACATGACAAAAGGACAAGTTTTGCAGCTTCCCCCATAGACACGGCGAGGCCACAGGAAAACCAGAGACTCGAGACGAGACAGGTGGGAGCACCAAAACGACCATTTCGTGCGAGACTTCCTCCAATTTTCATACTTTGCAGCTCCAAAATCGACGTTTTCCTACGAGTTTTCCTTAGAACCTGAAAATTTGTAACCTCAAAATCGATGTTTCGTGCGAGGCTTCCGTCAATTTTCAACACATGTGAGAAAATGCCACGCCTGCCACGGAATTTGCACCTTGTCACCACTTGACGCAGCCCTGCCAATGCGATTTACAAAACACACGCAAAAGGACACGTCTAAAGTGCTGCGCCTGCCACGAAAAATGACGATGGACGCGTCCAAAGTGCTGCGCCTGCCACGAAAACTGCAACACATCTTCTAAAAACGTCACAAAAGTATTGCGCCTGCCACGCAAAACGATTTTCAACACGTTGCAAAACACGTCTGAATGTCACAAAGTGCCACGCCTGCCACGCGAAACGAAGCAACGACACGTCTGAAACCTCCAAAAATGACCACCTCTGCAAAACTTCCCATAGGCACGGCCATACGGAGTTCGTACGAACGGTTGCGAACGGTTGCGGACGGTTGCGGACGGTTGCGAACGGTTGCGAACGGTTGCGGACGCGGACGCCACGTCGAGCGAACACACTCTCAACCCCCAGACCCCCAGAGTGAAACGGGAACCCTTGCTACGCATTCGGGAAAAATACATTGCACTACTTCACATTGCCACATTGCATAATTGTATTACGTCACAGTACCGTTTAATATAGTATGGCACAACACAGAGCGGACATTACACTACATTGCAGTACATTACATGACATGACTCATGACATTAAATAGAGAGTTACACTGAGCTCCTTTCAATTTCGATACATACATACATGAAACTTAAACACCGACTAATTATTGACTCATGTAACAACTTATGTACGTTAATAACATACATGCCTACGTATACACATACATTGCTCTCCTGCCGAGACTGGATACAAATCGTTGAATATCGTTGAGAGGTATCCAATTGTTTTGCAATTAGCAACCCAGAAGGCCTCTGTTGTCCTCAAGGCGGCAATGATTTCGTCGTAATACTCCTCGAGCTGGTTTCTGCCCAACTTGGGATCATCCATCATCCTAAATATAGACAAATATAGCTGAAATATAGCTGAACATAAATGAAAATCGACGTTTAAAGGCCAAACATGTCTAAAAGCTACCAGCCAGTCCTCAAATTGAAAGTCATCATCTCCAAGGTGGTCTCTCAGAACTCTCAAGATCTTCCGTGTGAAGATGCCACCATGCTCCTCATCTCCTGAGATGCGACAGCTGGAAATATCTGAAAATCTTCCTCGTTGTTCTGGGTTGACTTTTATATCCCAAAGATTCCCAGAGCTTGTTGCGCTTGTTGTGGTTACAGTGGACCCTTGGTTTCTAGTAGCGTTTCTCTCACAAGGCCATTGCAGTTTCTTGAGTTCCACTGTTGCTCCGCAGCAACTCACACCAAGCGTCCAGGTACTCGGCGCCCTGGGTGACAAGGAAGAAGGATCCACGCCTGCGCCTCGCTCTTCGGGAGCAAATGCCTTCGAGGGGAAATTCGGAAGTCATCCTGCAGGGGTGATGCCAACACTGCCGAAGAAACCAAGGTACAAGATGGTCGGATATCATCGAGGTCTGTTGAAATTCATGAAAGGGAAGACGGGAAGGGGCCAAATTATGGAGGTGGTCTGGTCTACGAAGTGTTTGTGCCATTTTGTGCCCACAAACCTGTCCTGATTCCACCCAAGCCAACACCCCCACCAAAGCCTCTCACGCCATCCAGGAATGTCCATGCAGCCATTGAGAGTCACATGAATGCGGGCATTCCTGCAGCCATCGATACTGCTTAAGTTCTTCACTAGTGGCAAGATTGGCACTCCATCACGCCACCCGCCGGCATCTGCTGGTAGGAATTGCGGGCAGCCATATACAAACTGAGCATGGCAGGAGATATGTAACCGAATAATGGGCCCATTCGCTCCACGAACGTGCGGTTCAACCTGACCAAGCATGGATTCAACGTCGTTCTTCTTCAAGTCGTACCACGGGAACACCTCTGGCCACTAGGGCAATGAAAGTGAAACACCTTGAGAACCAAACCTGCCCATGTAACGACAGTCAAGCAATGATAAACTTGAATCAACTTGCCAGTTTGCCCCTCCTCCTGGTGGGAAGGCTTTGGTGACATTCTTATCATTCTTATCGCAAAAAATCAGAACAAAAGTGAGTCGGCCTGCCAATCGTTCTGTTGATGTTGAGATACAAGTTCCTGAAAGCTTCGATCATAGACCCGAGGCCAGATCCCTCGATTCAAATAGTCCTGGAAAACCAGCATCATAGGCGATCAGGGCAACCCATGGGCCCATGGATTCACATGGTGCAGGTACCAGAATGAACGTCCCAAGAATGAACAAACAATTCGTTTGTTTCATTTGGGGTGTGGGGATGCTCAATCAGCGATTTCAAGGGTCCGTGATTTTATAAAAGTTGCAACTACCAGTCCTCGATGTTGATGAGGATTGCAACGCGGACACCTGTCCGATTTGGTGGGAAGCGAGCCAGTGCAGGAGCAGGTGGCTGATTGTGGCGTTGACGTGCACGTAAGAGCTTGACAAAGACACCTCAGAAGCGAAAGAAATCCGACCTCTGTGGCGGCGGGTCGTCAAGTAAGAAATCAGGTGTGTCCTGTGTCTCGGCGTGACAAAATGAAGTCTTTGTTTTTTTTAACATCTGTCTTTCTTGTAACTGAGCCCTCTGCAAACAGTTGCCTGCATCGCTAGCAAGCTCCACATTGCCCACCAAACACATACTCTGGCAGTCTGAGCAGGAGTCACTTTTTCCCAAATGTGCAGGAAGTTCATATAGACCACCGCGTGAAGTGCGAAAAACAAGCACAGAGCTGGAGCCGTCATCTTCAAACACCAACACCACCTCCGCCCTGGAAGCAAGTCAGCTCCACTTCCTTTCATGTAGAAAAAAGCTTGACAGCCTGCGGCGGCAAGAACTGAAGCACCGCTCCATCCCAGAGCGCCGCCAAAGCCCTTGCTACAGTTCGATTGCGAAACGCATGTCACATCTGGAAGATGTTCCAGGCAGCAGGGCGTACCCGGCAGAAAAGGAACCTGTCAGTGAGCACGCAGCTCTGCACAACGTAAAGCTCCATCAGGAGCTAACGCCCAAAAGAGCATGACTCCCAGATTTGTGCTTCACCCTATAGGATCTATAGGCCAAAAGAGTTGGTCTGAAAATAGGCTGATCATCCTAAAGCCTTAGGGATTATCATAATTTTCTTTATGACAATATATAGTCATTCTGGCATTTATGAACGCACAAGTATAATCAAGATTAATCAAGTATGGGAACATGTTTGAATGTTCCATATTCTATCTACTCCAGGATGATTGTGTTACATGCGCCGTTTTATGGTATATCCATGTATATCCAATCCATGTGTATCCAATTTGTAGACAAACCCACGATGTTTCCAGCCTTTGACATTCAAAAGACTCCCTTTGCCACCAAGACTCCACTATCCAGGAAGCTGGGCTTGACCAGCAGGTGGTGCCCACATCGTGGCAACACGTCGCCTTGGCCTCACTTCTCCAAGACTGGGAAGGAAATAAACATAAACCAATCACTGAACATGGCCAGCTGGGTGGGAGATTTGCCGCAACTGGATCATTACATCATAAAACTCGCCACTAGACCGCATCGTGTTCTCAAAAAGTGCGCCTAAGCGCTACAGCTTCCTCTTCTCAACAAAGGATATCAAAAGATCATCCACTTCATTGCACTTCATTGCACTTCAAGCCCTCGGGTCGCTTTCTCTCCTGAGATCTTCACCTCTTCGTGATAGGCTGCACAGCAAGGCTCTCCCTGAAGTGTAATGCCGCAGCTCTCAACCTGAACAGTGAAACATAGTGAAACATGAAGCATCTTAACCCGAGACATGCACCATAGGGGATGTTGACAACCACGATTATGATGTCTACCAAGTCTACCATGAAACATGATGGGGGCAACAAGGGCGTGAACGTTTGAAAATATTAAAATCGGCCCTGACATTTTTGTTCTACAGATCTATAATCTATTAGTGAAACTACTCATTTTTCCACTCAAAGATGACATGAAAATTAAAATACTTTAAATGACCAGACTTCGGCCACATTTCGATCCAGTTCCTCCACCATTCAGCGATGCAGGTGAGGGCCGATCCGGGGAAAAAAAAACGGGCCCCGCCTCTGCATTGCAACAAATGGGCTTGTTTCCGTGGCAGCTTCGGCTGACACCCGGCCTGGCAAATGGACTGACTCTGGGCCCCATTCCAAAGAAACATGCCAAAATTTGTTGAAAACGACTGGTGCTTCGTAGTTAAATCACCATCAACACACACACACATACGAGTAACTAAGAACTGAGTCCTACGATGTCATACTCAGCTCTCCCTTGCCTCCGACAGCAGAGAATATCGCAGAAGGGCGTTTTTCCATGAGTCTCACTTGGCGAATCCACATACGAAGCAAAGCACGACCAATCGCTAGAGCTTCGTTCAATCATGTCGACTGGGGTGTCGGTTCGATTGCAGCAACAAGAGGCGTAAATTTCCTTGGTTTTGGCATTGTCCTTGATGTAGCACTTGGTCCCTGCTCGACAATGCCCATTCTCTGGCCCCATGCACTCCGCTTCCGACTTCACAGGAGCATAGCCGCAGTGAAAGTGGTAGACCTGACACAAACACAATGGGGTTGCAACCCTGCACAAGTTGAAAAACAGAAGCAGACAATGCCTCCTGGTAGACACTGTTGGCTCGCTGGAAAGTAGCCATGTTTCAGTGGATAATCATCAACACATAGCTGTCAGATCGTTTTTCTTGCGACGGCCATACTTTGCAGCCTGGGTGCATCCAGGGAAAACGGACTGGGCTCCGGCGTCTCCAACATCGAAAAACCCAAGGGCATGGCATCTGTGACCACGTCCGTCCCAAATTGATCAAAGCATTGGCAGCAGATCAACTGGAAACCCACCGCCAAAACCACCAGCTTTCCCAAGCCCGGAGCAGCCATGGTCACTGCTGCCGATTGCTGGGAACATCTGGGAACGAATCTCGGAGCTAATGGCTGAGCCCGGGTGTGTCAGTGAACCCTTCTCCTGAGTTTTAACAGTTTTAACATTGCCGAACATGTTCTTGATCACCAACCCAAGACTGATTCCTCTTGGCATGGAAAGCATATCTGCGCAAAGAAGTTGACCCGAACACAATTATTGGAGGAAACCTTCCTGAGCACAAAGCACGTCATCCGCACAGATTTCAATAGATTTCATTCAGATCACAACGGATGATGTCTTACATCCACAAGCTCGTTGTGCAACTGGACCATCCATAGATGCACACAAAGGTCAAACAAGTCAAAGGCACCGAACGCTCTGGTTATCACAATTGCACTGGCCATTCTTATCGTTCTGTCGTTCAAGCTGCGTTTTTATCTGTTTTGCCTCTTCCTCTTCGCTCGGCAGGAACTAAGTAACCAGGTCCAAACCCAGGCTCGAGTTTGCCCGCCGATGAGCTTAAACTGGACCGTACTACTAGTCCCGGAACGGCAGTGCTTGCTGTAATTTGCTGTGCTCAGTTCCGCGATAATTGCAGAGTTCGCACCCAACTGAAACATTCCATGAAAATGCTGAAGCCACACTCATCCAACTGCAAAATCCTGGGCACAGCTCCCTTGCGGAACATTGAAAATGTACCTCTCTAAATCTGCCTCAGCCAGGCCGAGCGCTTGAGAACGGGCAAAGGCCTTAGACACTGTACATCACCGATCACTTCCGATGTTTCTGTAACATCTCCAATAAACTGATCGCTTGCAGTTTTAAAAGGCAACTTCGTTTGCCTATAACAATATCACTATGTACACTATACAATACTGTACATCTGTAAAGTGTTGCATGCGTCTGAATTCATCGCCCTAAAGCAGTGAAGCTGCCAGGGGATGAAGGGAAGATCCGACCAACTGACATCAACTGCCCTGCTCCACAGGGACTTGTGCCCTCAGTTTATCGGCTTCATCTCAGCAACTTCGGGGTCCAGGCACGGCCCGGGGTAGCATCCAGCTTTAGGGTCCTAAGGCTCCTTCGCAGGAATCAAAGTTCGAAGCATGATACCAGTAGGAAAAGCATCGTCCAAACCTATCCGGAATTCTGCATTGGATTTCAATGCAGCAAACCGCGAATTGAAACAAACATGTTCAACCAGAACACTCCTGAGAGGATGGGCCTGATGAGGCTGCAGTGCTTTGAGTCCCAGCACTTCCAATTGTCCTCAGTGGGGCGCCTGAAATCTGAGCTGCAAAGTGGCACTGCTGCAGCAAAAGCACACAATCACCTACCATCACCTACCATCTACAAATGCAAAACGGGCTACCATCTCACCCTCCATCACCCTCACCGCCAAAAATCTCTTGGGAAAGCTGCCGGGTCCCATCATGAAGTGGTACATCGTTATTCGTATTGCCGGTTGTGATCAGGTACGGGTGAAACCTTACCCTCACTCTGTCCTGAGGTCAAAACACCAAGTGAACTCTTGCACGTACATCTGCAAGTGCCACTACGGTATACTCTGCTAGTAATAAAATATATATGCATATAGTTTATTGCAGTACAAATATAATTGGAACCGATATACAAAGATACTCCTGCAGCTACGCACATAATGACCAAACACAAATCGCTGAGCTCTCTAAAATGTCCTCGGAAGTCTTCAAGTCGCTGATCATTGCATCATAGTAGAGTTCAATTTGAGAGTCATCAGCTCCAAGATGATTTCTCAAGACCCGCAAGATCCTCCTTGTGAAGATCCCACCTTGTTCTTCGTTTCCTAGACTGAAAAGCGCCAAAAAAACCACGCAAATCTCTCAGATCTCACTAGTGCAGTTTTGGATCTTCTTTCAATGGCGTGCATCCAGTAAAACCCATTAAATATAGAGACTACAGAAGTATATAGACAGATGCATATGAATATGATGTATAGACATGTATTATAGTAAAAATAAATAGATCAAAAATAAATAAAATAGAAATAAATGTAAGAAAATACATAAATAAACAAATACAGTAATAAATGAATAGATTTAGATATTTGTATTTATTAATATGATATATGTATCTGTATAATCACATTTATATCTATATATATATAATGATCTATGATGATATATGATGTATGATATATGTATGTTATATGTGTATATGTGTAGTTATTTAATCTATAATTATCGAAGGAAGTTAGAAGTCAAACTTCCGACAATATGGACAGATGAAAAGCAGAGCAGGGAAGAGGCAAAGAGAAGAAAAGATTAGAAGAAAGAAGAGTAGAAGAGAAAGAGTCAGAAGAAAGAAGATGCAGATGCGCGAAAAGGTAGGAAAGTCGCGAAACACTGTGTTTTTCCAATGATTTGTGGCTCTGGAGGGTCGAAAAGTAGGCTCGCTAAAGCGGCGGGTGCGGAGCCAGCTGGCCAGACGAAAGATGAAAAATTGCATGCCGATGTGGCGCGAAGCACATTTCCAAGTCAAAATGTGCAAAACACACCACGTTCGGACCACTTTGGAAGTTGAGATGTTGAAAAAGTGCACGCCGTTGTGGCGCGAAGCACATTTCCAAGTCAAAATGTGCAAAACACACCATTCGGACCACTTTTGGAAGTTGAGATGTCGAAAAAGTGCACGCCGTTGTGGCGCGAAGCACATTTCGAAGTCAAAATGTAAAAACACACCAGGTTCGGACCACTTTTGGAAGTTGAGATGTCGAAAAAGTGCACGCCGTTGTGGCGCGAAGCACATTTCCAAGTCAAAATGTACAAAACACACCATGTTCGGACCACTTTTGGAAGTTGAGATGTCGAAAAAGTGCACGCCGTTGTGGCGCGAAGCACATTTCGAAGTCAAAATGTTAAAAACACCAGGGGTTCGGACCACTTTTGGAGGTTCAGATGTCGCTTCGCTTCACACTACACTACATTACACTACACTACACACTACACTACACACTACACTACATTACAACACGACTACTACAACACTACACTTACACTACATACACTACACTACACTACACACTACACTACATTCCACTACACTCCACTACACTACACTACATTACACTACACTACATTACACTGAATGAATGACACTGCACCACAGATAGACAGGTAGACAGATAGACAGATAGATAGATAGATAGACAGATAGACAGATAGACAGGTAGACAGCTAGACAGGTAGACAGATGAAAGAGAGAGAGAGAGAGATAGACAGACAGACAGACAGACAGACAGATAGATAGATAGGTAATTAGATGGAAGAGAGAGAGAGAGAGATCGATAGATAAATAGATACATAGACAGATAGATAGATAGACAGATAGATAAATAGATAGATAGGTAGGTAGGTAGGTAGTCAGAGAAAGAGAGAGAAAGAGAGAGAAAGAGAGGAGACCTCAAGCACCTTTTGGTCCATCAGTGGCTTCGCTCTGCCATCCGTGACTCACAACAACCAACCTCCCCTATAAGTTTCCTATTTTTGAAACTTCCGCCACCGCCTTGTGCGGTACTACTGGTATCAAGGCCATCGTGGTTTCTTGAGCCACGCCGAGTATCCGGGCACTGCGCGCCCTGGGTGACAAGCAAACAGGATCCAGGCCTGTGCTTCTCTCCTTGGAAGCAGATGCCTCCCAGAGGAAAGTCGGAAGTCATCCTGCGATAGGCGCACCCAGAGTTGGGAAACACACAACCCACGGCGGGCCCCTCAAATGGGTAACCAATGGAGTCCGGTGCGGACTTTACTGTCCTTTGCAAGGGGTTATGATATGTTATGATGCCAGAATATCCTGGAAATGATGTTTTTTGGGATCTGTTAGACTGTTAGAGTGCAGTCATTCTCAGAAAAAGGCAGTCATTCTCAGAAAAAGGCAGAAAAATCATGCGGGTGCAGCGATTGTCTGCAACCCTGTCCTGGCTCCATCCATACCTCCACCACCACACGAACCTCTCAAGGCCCCTCGGAATCTCCATGCAGCCATTGAGGGTCACATGAATGCGGGCCCCATGGCAGCCAAGAACACTGCTCAACTTCCTCACCAGCTTGAAAATTGACACTCCATCACCGAACACACCAGCATCTGCTGGGAGGAACTGCGGGCAGCCAAAGACTGTCTGAGAATGGCAGGAGATGTGCATCCAAACAATGGGTCCATTCGCCCCGCGGAGACGTGGTTCAATCTGACCAAGCATGGCCTCAACTTGGTTCTTCATCAAGTCGTACCATGTACACACCTGCAGTGGTCAGGCAAACAATAAAGTCTTGCGAAACAAACTAATAAATCAGAGAGGCACATAACAGAACTGTCAAGCAATCAGACTATAAATCTGCCCGTTCTGCTACACAAATCGTTTCTCGCAGCTTGTCGTCATATTGGTACCCCTCAGTAGCAAGCAAAGAGGATCAGAAAGATAAGCTTGCCTGCCAACCACTCTCTGTAAGTTGACGTACAAGGTCCGGGAAACTGCCATCGTAAACGTGAGGCCAGATTCGACTATTTACATACTCCTGGAGAAACAGCAGGGGACTTGGGATAAGGTGTGCTGAATCTGTCGCTGGTTTGCATTTGCCCGCCTTCACAGCCAGACTCAGCAAGACCCGGCAAGACCAACTACTTGCATAAACAACAATCATCAACAATCCCCATCTGGCCGTGGATCAAACCTTGGTAACCCCAATGATCCCTAAGAATGAAGGCGACAAACATCATTTCTCTGTCATACCGTCCTGAATGTTGATAAGGATGGCGATGCGGACACCTCTGCGGCCGCGGGGGAAGTGATCTCCAGCAGGGCCAGGTGGCTGATTCTGGCGTTGCGATGCCCGGAGGACCCTGATCACGACACCTCAAAAACTTAAAAACATTTAAAAAAAAAAACTCTCATGGGATCGGGTCATAAAATGCGAAAAACAAAAAAAAAGTGTTTGCACTTAGATTATGTTTGCTCATATTTAAGCTCTTGAGAAAATTGGCAGCAAGTTATAGCAAGTTAACGGTTTGATTCGGCGCATGGAAACTGAGCCCGTTGCAAACAGTTGCCTGCATCGCTAGCAAGCTCCACATTGCCCACCAAACACATACTCTGGCAGTCTGAGCAGGAGTCACTTTTTCCCAAATGTGCAGGAAGTTCATATAGACCACCGCGTGAAGTGCAAAAAACAAGCACAGAGCTGGAGCCGTCATCTTCAAATACCAACACCACCTCCGCCCTGGAAGAAAGTCAGCTCCACTTCCTTTCATGTAGAAGAAAGTTTGACAGCCTGCGGCGGCAAGAACTGAAGCACCGCTCCATCCCAGAGCGCCGCCAAAGCCCTTGCTACAGCTCGATTGCGAAACGCAAGTCACATCTGGAAGATGTTCCAGGCAGCAGGGCGTGCCATGCAGGAAAGGAGCCTGTCAGTGTCAGTGAGCAAGCAGCCGCGGCTCCACATAAACATTTGAAGCTAGGCAACACAGTCAAAAGGGTATGACTGATACATGTGCGCTTGTCCCATCTTGACCCTACCAATAAACATAACATCCGAACCGATGTCCAAACTCTCACTCCGCAGATCTTCGCAGCCAAGGCTCCACCATCCATGAAAATGGGCTGTACCAGCAAGTGGTGCCCAAATTGTGGCAACATGTCGCATTGGCCTCGCTGCTCCAAGAGTTGCAGGGGAGAAATTGGATAATTAGTCATTGAACACAGCCTGCCACGACAGACATTCGCTCCAGAGGGGATTCCGGCATTATATAAATGCATATAATAGATTTAATAGATATGCATAGGCATATACATATATATATATTATGTGTGTGTGAATATATATATATACATATTGAATCTATATATACGGCCTCAGAGTCAGATTGCATCTCAAACCAAGCTTTGGGCGGCATCAGATTCTTAAAAGTCAGCCAGGCACTGCAGTTTCTTCTTCTCACCACAAGATCATCCACTTCATTGCACTTCAAGCCTAGGGTCGTTTTCTCTCCTGAGATCTTGACCTCTTTGTGATAGGCTGCACAGCAAGGCTCTCCCTGAAGTGTAATGCCGCAGCTCTCAACCTGACCAGTGACGCATCATAGCAAGCACCAACAACAGCATGTAACAATATGTAACATATGTAACTAGCTAAATGCGATACTGAAAGAGACCCACATTCTACTGATCTGTCTGCTCTTGGATGACCACGCTTCCCCACCATGGAATGCTACAAATCAGGGCCAATTAGCACAAACATGCGCAATTGATCCGGCTCCCACCTTTCCATTGCAACAAATGGGTTTGTTCCCATGGCAGCTGCGGCTGACTCCGGGCCTGGAAACTGACTATGTAATTCCCGTGAAGCGGGCTAAATAAATATGGTCAAAAACGAATGGTGGTTAACAATTCAATCGCCATGCTACTGTAACCAAGTCATACTCAGTCCTCACCCTGCCTCCGGCAACAGTGAATATCACAAAAGGGTGTCTTTCCATGGGTTTCACTGAGAGAGTCCACTTCTGAAGCGAAGCATGACCAGTTACTGGAGTTGTGCTCAATCATGTCGATGGGTGTGTCAGTCCGACTGCAGCAACAGGTGGCATAAATGTGCTGTGGGCCATCGTCCTTGATGTAGCACTTGTTCCCTGCCCGACAGCCCCCTTTCTTTGAACCCATGCATTCACTTGCGGTCTTTAGAGGAGCAACGCTGCAGTGAAAGCGGACTTCCTGACACAAACATGACAGGCTTGCAACCTTTCGCAAAGGGAAAAAGCGCGAGGTATACGCTTGGAGACAATGATTCAATGATTGCTTGCTGGGAAATGACTATGGAAAATATGTGTTTGTTTGTGTGTGCTCAATCAATGTGGGTTTTTCCAACTGCCATGGGTCTTTCTGGCGACGGCCATACTTTGCAGCCTGGGTGCATCCAGGGAAAACGGACTGGGCTCCGGCGTCTCCAACATCGAAAAACCCAAGGGCATGGCATCTGTCACCACGTCCGTCCCAAATTGATCAAAGCATTGGCAGCAGATCAACTGGAAACCCACCGCCAAAACCACCAGCTTTCCCAAGCCCGGAGCAACAGCCATGGTCAATGGTCACTGCTGCCGATTGCTGGAAACCAATCTTGGGGAGCCAACAGCTGAGCCGGGGAAAAGCCGACCTCTGGTGCTGAGTGCTTTTTTGGCCTGAGTACAAATCCAATACGATCAATACTTACAATGGATTCCGGCCGAGATAAGTTAATAATTACAGTACCTGCTCGCAGTGACGCTTTCAAACTGAGCGGCATCATCTAAAACCTACCCAAGTTCCAGTTCACATTTCAAGAAAACATGCAGGTGGTGCACAGGCGTACTTGTTCACCAACTGTTTCACTCTGGCGTTCGCAACTGGAGTTCCCCATGGCTGCCTATCTGGCAGAGTGGGTCTGCATTCGGCCAATCGCGCCTTGGTTCAGGGGCGAAAGCTGCACCACTTGCCAAATGGCCGTGAACCATTGCGCACCAACTGGTCACTTGCCGTGCCGTAGCCTAATACCTGGCATAATTTTCTTCCTCAAGCTCAAGCCTCACAAATTCTGGCTCCTTGCTGCTGAACAATAATCCTTTCTTTTTCAACCGGCCATCGGGCTTAAAGAAATCAAAAACGATTGTGACATCCACATGGCCAACCCAAAATTTATCACAAAAGGTGGGACCTGCACCAGCAGGTCGCTACCTCGCCTCTGCCTGGGATTCCAGGTATGTCGGCTCAAAAAGCCACCGAGGAAAATATTGGAATGCTGCAACCTCAGCTGTCAGAATGCTGTGCTGGTGCGGAAGTTCCGAACTTCACTACCCAGTATTTCCTGAATCGACTGATCATTGGATTAACCCCAGGGATTGTCAGGTACCGACCGAGACGGGTCTGCAAACCTGAATCATAGACTGATGATGGCCGGCTTTTATGATGGCCGGCTTTTATTTTTAACCGAAGCTTGCGTCCTTTTTCTGGAAGGGTCTGAGCTGTGGCATCGCGGTGATTGACTGCTTCCGACAGCAACGTTTGACCGCCCCATGGTTTCCTCCCACCAATAAAAAATTGGACACACCGAGCGAAATAAGACTTGGAATCTGAAAATGTGATGAGCCCCGTAAACCATCCAAAACTGAGCCAGAAATATGTGGTACAAAACTGCCCCCAAAGATCCCTGAAGGGAACTTTATTCGGCATTGCATTGGGTGTACCACATGAAAAGGAAAACTGTTGCTTTGCATCCAGTGCACTAGTGTATGGGAAACAAGTGTATGGGAGATTCCTCAACCACCACACCCCATCACACCCCCAACCGAGACCGGCATTAAGGGAGAATTTGCCAAGAGGCAAAGATCGCCAACAATTCTTCACCAACGGCAAGTAGTGATCCCAAACCTCCATCAGGGGAAGCTCACGCTGCGGCTCCCAAAAAAAGGGTGCACCCGAGGACGGGCCTTCGAGAACACGATGCTGGTGTTGCCCTCTGCAGGGCGCGACTTAAACAGCGCTTGGTGCGAGAGTCTGACCTGTCTCCAGAACAAGCCAACTGAGGCTTCATGACAGCACCAAATCTTGTCGTTCCTTTCTGCTGGTTCATGGCGATTCATATCCATATGTACTTGTGCAACTGTCAAACAAGGAGGGTTTGAGGTTTTGCTCACATGACATGCCTGGTTCCACTATGATCTACTCCAACGTCAGCTGTCACTGATGCCTGTATATAAGAGTTCTGAGCTGCAACGAGAGCGGATAAGTACTGACATGATGAATATGGGTGTCAAAATCCCGTGAACCCTTTTGAACATCAAAATAGTTGATAATAAATGGATGTCCTCCCACTCACAACATGGGAATTCAATGGAATTCATAGGTGTTCATCCATCTCCATCTGCAAGTACCCACGTTTCTGTTATTAAGATATCTTACAGAGCATGGTAATGAAATTGCAATGACAAACCATAAACAACTGCAACAAATATGAAACATCTGTTCGTTCCGGGGTGCTTCACATCCTTCATTTTCATGAGGGGGCCACCGACCCCCGGACCCCGGGACACCCATGGGCCTGAGCCCCCTTGATATCCAAGCGGGTTGCTCCGAGGCTGAAAACCTGGATGGTGTCCCTCAGAGACTTGGGCAGATAATGCGCATCCGGGATGTGAAGCCTCAGCCGCTGGCGATGGGCTCGGGTAATTTGTGGTGTGCCGCTGGGGACAAGACTGGCACCACACGTCCACTTTGGCATCCCCAACCACCTCGAACGCTCCAAACCGTTGCAGAGCTGCCTTTTTGAGAGCCGAATGATAGACACTCCATGACTCTCTTGTGCTAGATCTGGCAAGAACTTCGCACCACTAGTTAGTCACTAGTTGCTGAGGCTGCACACCAGCTTGTTGACCACGAGCTTGGAAGATGCAGAGGGTGGCTGCGGATTACTCAAATGAATGCCGCCCTGGGCCACAGTTTGGAAGTGACCAGGGAGAGACTATCATATGACTATTGGAATGCGAGGCCTTATGCCAACCAAGGAAGTTCGCAAAATCCTGGCGCCCTGGTGAACACCAAAAGCGCCCACTTAGCTGAATTTTTTTATGCCAAATGCAGTATCCCAACAGATGGTGCATTAACCCATCCACACCACATCACACCGCCATGTTCGGGCAGGATCTTTGCAAACTGGCCCCTGTGCCTCGAAAAATCTTTGACTATCTTCGATGCTGGTTGCACTTGGCTGGTTGCTGTTCGTGGAAAGGCCGGAGTATGCATGGAGAAGACCAAAAGAAGAATGAATGACATAAAGTCGATGTATGTTTGCGACCTCAAGGTGAAGGAATGTTTCGTACGAGGACCCGCTTTTGCAACTGGTTCTGAACGCAAGCAAGAGCATCTCGCTGATGCCAGCTTTCGGCATATCCCAATTTTTGGTGTTTAAATCCCATTTTTTGTTTGAAGTCTTCTTGGGTAAATCATAGTATATACTGATACTACGTCCACATTTTTTTGCTGGTTGAAGCCCATGAAATCCCCATGTTTTCCTTAGACAAAACTCCCTCCGAGTCAAAGGGCGCATCGCATCCCATCGCTGCGCCTTGGCTCTCGCCAGCACTTGCTCAAAGGTCAAGCCACCCATGCCCACGGTGAGGTTTCTCCTCAGGCGGCGTTTGAAGCCGATCTGTGCTGCAAAAGTGTGCCATAATTTTGACATCCCCTATAATTGGCAAATAATCTACAAATTGGTGATTTTCCATTGCCATGGTTGATTGCCGGATGGTAAATGTTTTTAACAGCCGGAGAAAACAAACGTTGCATGAACTTAGACCCCAACTTTGCTTCAAACTTCAAACTTCAACAGATTTCAAGAGTCACAAAGGAGAAAAAAAAAACTGGTCCTCAAAAGCCGAGCTTGGTCCATGAGGGCACCAGTGACTGAAACCTCAGCGCTAAGAATACGATAACATCCCGAACAAAATGTTCCGAATGCCTTTGGATCTAAAGAAATAAGCCATTCAGTTGAAAGTAGCCATGTAAGTAGGCCACCAAGCCTTGTGGTACCGCTACCAAGCCCACGGCCTAATTATACAGGCTCAATGATATCAATGCTGCCCTGTGTTGAGCTTGAGACTTCCAAATGTCCAAGTTCCAATTGCACCTGGCAGTCGCCCAAAGGTCAGGTCGCTTGGGGTGAAGGAACGGTCATCTCACATCAGCGTCACCTCGCGGAGATGAACATCAAGCATGCGAACATCGTCCCTTTTGGTATGCCTCAGGGGGCAGATCCACAGCCGGCCACATCTGGTCATGTTTGATCATCACGTTGCTATCCGGTCGCGAATTTGAGCATCCCATGGTTGGATTAAGTCGCCATATCGCGGGTGTTTCTTTAAATGGGGGATCCCCAAAACCATGGGTTTCAATCCTAAAATAATGTAATCTTCGATGATGTGGGGTACCAGTACCTTCATTTTAGGAAACCTCTATATATATATATATTTGAATATGGCTGTTGACCGGGTTGACCGTAAAGGTCTACAACATACTTGGACTGAAGACAACCTAACTGAGATCCCCTGCGTCCTGAGGGCGGGCTGGGAGGTGCTCTTCAGGATCACATCGCGCTTGGGAGACTGCATGTCCACCTTCGAATAGCTCCAAACTGGGCTTGGAGCTTGGCATGGCGCTCGATACCAATCCCTGAACCTGAGCGGTACCCCCTATTGTCTTGATGATCTACAGGTATTTTCAGTGCATCTTACATATGTTACATGTTCGTAGCTGTTGGTATCACCTTTTGGGGGCCGAGCAGCTCTGCAGCCACCTGCCTGGATGTCCCAAATTTGAAATTGGACATCGCGGCACCTGTTTGGCCTTGGCAACGGTGCAGATCCACCGGGACCGGTCCCCACCCGCCACCCGGGCTCAGCATTGGCATGGCCAAGCCACGTTTGGGCCACGTTCATGACGACTTGCGCCAGGGCAATGGTGAAGGCCTGGCAAGTGCCACTTGAAAAGCGACCAAAGGTATATCAAAGGCTTTCGCTGGAGCCAGATGTTGTTCCACCAAGCGGATCATTCATCTCAAGCTACACAAAGCATCCGAAAAGTTGGATGGGCACCGGGCACCTGCCCTCTTTTTTCCCTGCCGCAACAGGTTCTCAGGTGAAACCGACACGATGGAACACGATGGACAAAGGGCAGGCCCTGGGCTCATCCGAACTCATCCAGCATGTTGTGCCCAGGAGCAGCGGGCGCCGCTGATTTTTCCTTTCTCCTCACCTGGCACAGGGCAAAGCTCTGCAGGTTGAAAGGTGGGCTCAAATGGGTTGGGTAGGAGAGATGTTCCACAAGACATCAGGATAAGAATGGCTTCCGGGTTCACATCAGCACGCGAAACGTTTGCATCTAGGAAATGTGATGAACCGATATGCCAGCAAGTGATACAGTACCATGCCACTATGCTTGATCCATCTTGATCCCCCTGCCTTTGACTTCGGATCCTTCTTGACTTTTGCCTTCTTGAGTGACTTCTCAAACTTCTCTTTTTTACTCTCAGCCATCAGCTTGGCGCGTTGCCGCAGCGGCATCTTGTTCAGCTCATATTTTTCTGCTTTGTCATCGCCTGCATGAGCCTGGTAGTCTTTGACCGCATTGAACAAGCGGACCACTCCCTGTGTGGCATACTTCCGAAGTTGCATCTCGAAATTCTTTTCAAGGATATCCACGGCCGCATGTCCCTTATCCTTCTGAACCTTGTTTTCCATGGCCTGAAGCCGTTTCTCCTTGAATTCAGCCTTGCTCTGCCTGATCTTTTCCTCCACTTGAGTTTCTGCTAAGACAGGTGCCTGGGAATTCTGGAGCTCCCGGCTTAGAATGCTGGCGAAAGCGGTGCAGAAGCCTTTCCACCCAGCTTCCTCCACCTTCCCCACACCACTGGCAGGTGTCTCCTCCTCCCCCACGTCGTCATCTTCGGTCGCCTTCGGAAGGTCCTTCCTCGGCTTCTTGGCCGGCGTCTTCTTCCGGAACTTCATGACAGCGAGTCATTGAAATAGGGAATCATACCATTTGAGCCAAACTTGCCGGAGGGTCAGCTTTCACTATCTCTCTCACAAAAATTCAGACATGTTCCTATGTTTCTTCAAGATGTTCGAGGCACCCAAGACATTCCTACAGACTCTCAGACCTTTTTTCCAGCAGGTGTTACCCAAGAGCAGCCCAGAGCAACATAGGAATTCTAACAACATCTAGCGGTGGCGCGTGGCCTCTCTTCTTTGCCGCGGCTCAGTTGAAGCCTAGAGCTGCATCCATTGCTGGTGCAGCTCCAATGATCGATGAATTTCGGGTGATGCGTAATGCGTCATGCGTAGGAAGGTAAATCAAAATCACAAGCCAGAATCTACTAAATTCTATTAATACATCAAGTTGGTCAACCTGAATCCTTCATATTCATAATCTCTGGTCACAGAGTTCGACCATCTCATCTCAGTTCTGAGCCAGTTCTGCAGCTGTTCCCCACACCTGGGCAAAGGGTGCCAGGGCAGGAGATTTCATGACACATGGGTTTGTCTCGAAATAGGGGAAATATATGGACAAATCCACTAAGTTGATTTTACAAATTGTCTGAAAATGGGGCATACGATGGCATTCGCCATTTTTGGCCACATTTTAACGGGACAATTATATATGGTAAACCTATGGTAAACCTCTGTTCCCCATGTGGAGACAAACCCACATGGGCCATGGGTGCCATGTGAATCTAGGCTGCAGGCAGATGAAGTCGCCAGTGATCTTGAGGACCCTGGCAGGCCCCGTCATCTGCTGGGGGGAACAGAAGCACATCACCATCTGACAGTGCCTTCAATGACCAGCCCAACCTCAGCACTGGCTCTCAACAGCCCCAGGAAATCCCAGGAATCACTAATCACAAAAAATCACAGAAAGCTGCATATGGTAGGACAGCTCAAAAGATCGAGGATAACAAAAGGGATCTTCCCTTCCTTCCAGGTTCACCGTACAGGGAAACGACAATGTCACGCCTAAGTCATGCCTAGCATGTTTCTGAATGGCATTTACCATTGTAAACGCTGTATCCAAGAAGTCATGCCTAAGTCATGCCTAAATGTTTTTCTGCATGGAACGCTGTCCTCAATAAAAGTGTAACCATGCATTTTAGACATGAAAAACCAATGAAACACAATGGAACGCGATTGATGAAAATATTGGTTTTCTACTCTCTTATAATGTAATTCTCGTGTGCAACCTGCATGTCATCGCTGGGATTCTGCATCATTATTTTTCTATTCTCTGGGTCACTTCCCAGTACTACTTTGTACTACAAAGCTTGCACAAACTACTTCCCAGTACTACTTTGTACTACAAAGCTTGCACAAAGCACGTTCCAGCACTACTTTGTACTACAAAGCTTGCACAAAGCACTTCCCAGTACTACTTTGTACTACAAAGCTTGCACAAACTACTTCACAGCACTACTTTGTACTACAAAGCTTGCACAAAGCACGTTCCAGTACTACTTTGTACTACAAAGCTTGCACAAAGTACTTCCCAGTACTACTTTGTACTACAAAGCTTGTACAAAGTCCTTCCCAGCACTAATTTGTACTACAAAGCTTGCACAAAGCGTTTCCCAGTACTACTTTGGACTACAAAGTTTGCACTACAAAGCAAAAGCACGTTCCAGCACTACTTTGTACTACAAAGCTTGCACAAAGCACTTCCCAGCACTACTTTGTACTACAAAGCTTGCACAAACTACTTCCAGTACTACTTTGTACTACAAAGCTTGCACAAAGCACTTCCCAGTACTACTTTGTACTACAAAGCTTGCACAAAGCACTTCTCAGTACTACTTTGTACTACAAAGCTTGCACAAACTACTTCACAGCACTACTTTGTACTACAAAGCTTGCACAAAGCACATTCCAGTACTACTTTGTACTACAAAGCTTGCACAAAGTACTTCCCAGTACTACTTTGTACTACAAAGCTTGCACAAAGTCCTTCCCAGTACTACTTTGTACTACAAAGCTTGCACAAAGCACTTCCCAGTACTACTTTGTACTACAAAGCTTGCACAAAGGACTTCCCAGTACTACTTTGTACTACAAAGCTTGCACAAAGGACTTCCCAGTACTACTTTGTACTACAAAGCTTGCACAAACTACTTCACAGCACTACTTTGTACTACAAAGCTTGCACAAAGCACATTCCAGTACTACTTTGTACTACAAAGCTTGCACAAAGCTACTTCTACAGCACTACTTTGTACTACAAAGCTTGCACAAAGCACTTCCAGTACTACTTTGTACTACAAAGCTTGCACAAAGCAAAGCACTTCCCAGTACTACTTTGTACTACAAAGCTTGCACAAACTACTTCACGGCACTACTTTGTACTACAAAGCTTGCACAAAGCACGTTCCAGCACTACTTTGTACTACAAAGCTTGCACAAAGCACTTCCCAGTACTACTTTTTACTACAAAGCTTGCACAAAGTACTTCCCAGTACTACTTTGTACTCCAAAGCTTGCACAAAGCACTTCCCAGTACTACTTTGTACTACAAAGTTTGCACCAACTACTTCCCAGCACTACTTTGTACTACAAAGCTTGCACAAAGCACGTTCCAGTACTACTTTGTACTACAAAGCTTGCACAAAGGACTTCCCAGTACTACTTTGTACTACAAAGCTTGCACAAAGTCGATCCCAGTACTACTTTGTACTACAAAGCTTGCAAAAACTACTTCGCAGCACTACTTTGTACTACAAAGCTTGCAAAAAGTCCTTCCCAGTACTACTTTGTACTACAAAGCTTGCACAAAGCACTTCCCAGTACTACTTTGTACTACAAAGCTTGCACGAACTACTTCCCAGCACTACTTTGTACTACAAAGCTTGCACAAAGCACGTTCCAGTACTACTTTGTACTACAAAGCTTGCACAAAGCACTTCCCAGTACTACTTTGTACTACAAAGCTTGCACAAAGCACATTCCCAGTAGTACTTTGTACTCCAAAGCTTGCACAAAGCACTTCCCAGTACTACTTTGTACTACAAAGCTTGCACAAAGCACTTCCCAACACTACTTTTTACTACAAAGTTTGCACGAACTACTTCCCAGTACTACTTTGTACTACAAAGCTTGCACAAAGGACTTCCCAGTACTACTTTGTACTACAAAGCTTGCACAAAGCACTTCCCAGCACTACTTTGTACTACAAAGCTTGCACAAAGTACTTCCCAGCACTGCTTTGTACTACAAAGCTTGCACAATGCACTTCCCAGTACTACTTTGTACTACAAAGCTTGCACAAAGGACTTCCCAGTACTACTTTGTACTACAAAGCTTGCACAAAGGACTTCCCAGTACTACTTTGTACTACAAAGCTTGCACAAAGCACTTCCCAGTACTACTTTGTACTACAAAGCTTGCACAAACTACTGTTTACTTCCCAGTACTACTTTGTGCTACAAACTGACATGACAACCTGCTTGGAAACCTTCGAAAAGGAGAGGTTTTGCAGCTTCCCCCATAGACACGGAATTAACGACGCGACGACGACGCGACGCCGACCCGACGACGACGCGACGCCGACCCGACGACGACGCGACGAGCCACTCGAGGCGAACAAGGGTCCAGCCCCCAGACCCCCAGACTATAAACGGGAACCCTTCGCTACGCATTCGGGGAAAAACAGGATAACTGGGATGAACATCCAAAATCATCAAATCACCAGCTCAACGCCATCTTACCTATAACTAATCAACATACCCACAACCTGGAATTCTGCATGCTAATAGTGATCAGCTACGTGATCTCATAAGAAAACGGGTTACATATCCAAACTCCAGAGTTCCTATGCGTTCTTGCTAAAGGCACGACTTTTGCGAAACACACTTCCCCAAGGCACAATGCGTTTTTCCTAAAACAGGTACGACTTTGTCAGATGCCTGTAGTTGGGGAATCCTCTTCCTTCAGTTCTGACTCATGCCCAAACGGAGAACGGAAACGTCCGAAACACTCCTCAAACACTCGCAACCTCCCTGAGCTGTGTGCGAACAGCTGATCGATTCGCAACTCGCCGTTGAACCTTGATAGGAATGAACAAATTAATCAATCCCTGCTGTGTTCTGTGACTGTGCCCTGCAAAAAAATTGACGGAACGATAACTTTCCTATGGTGGATTTCCATTGTCGTGGTCCTGGATCCTTCAAATTGCGTGCCAAAATGTTCCTCCAACCAACACCTCTGAGTCTCTGAGGCCAAGGGCGTTCTGAGGTTTGCTGCATCTTCGTTCTCCCCATCATCTCCACCCGCTTCATCCTGCGGCGACCGCTGGGAAACTCATCTGGCAACGATAACCCTGATATAGGCAATGAATCTGAATGCATATGAGCAATATGCCGAAAATCAGTTTCTTCACATCATGTATCATCACGTTTCAACACTCAAACCAATCCAAACGGGCTGTTATTGGCAGCCTCCCCCAACTGCAATAACAACCAACCACAACAAGTCACGCCTGGCGCTGCACTGGCTGTGAAGCCTGAAATGAACAACGCTTTGACCATCGGTTCGGCAGGCACGAGCACCGGCCAGTTTCAGAGCACCCCCACGGCTCGTGCAGCTTTGAGTACAGGCGCAACTGTCACCTGGCCAGGTGGCCCCAACTGACATAGGTAAAATAGGGGCAAGATGCGAAGGCAAATGAAGGTAACGAATGGTCCTAAATTATGGTCTATCGTACTATCTGGTAATAAATAAACTACGGCTATACATGGCTGCAAGTGGCTATATAAATGCTTTCCTCCATACCTACAGGCCTACGGGAACGGATGTTCAAGCTGGGGGGAAGGACTTCCGATGGCAGGACGACCTTTTTGGCACTCAATCAGGACGGACTGTCAAGGCATCACCAGCCTTACTACAGGGCGGACAGGCCGCCAGCTGAGGGCAGAAGTGCCCAACATCACTAACAGAAGACATCAGAAAACTAGTTGATCAACCTGGGTGTTTCCAAGAACGGCTGACCCCAAACCTATCCCAACTAAAATGATGACAGTGTATCTCAGTGTTCGGGGTCAATCCATCTCAGAAATCTCACATCTGATTTCAGCTCACATCCTGCCACCAGTGAGATCCAGCAGCTCCCTGGGAGGTTTCTGCCCCACATCCTTCATGGCCTTGGCGATGGAGCGCGCCATGCGGATACTGTCCGGCCTATAGGCGTCCGCCGGAAAAAACGTCACTGCCGTACCGGTGGCTCCGCCTCGGGCCGTGCGCCCGATGCGGTGGATGTAGTCCTCCAAGGTCTTAGGCACGTCATAGTTCACCACCTGGGTAAAGCTTCAGTGGCTTGGCTGAAACCAAGAAAATGTTGGATATGTTGAGTTATTTCCCACCAAAAATTGGGAGCTGATCATCAACTCTTTGGATTTTGACAAGGTGTAAGATGGGAGTCAATGGACTAATTTGAAGGAAAACTGGCTGGAAACCCCTGGAATTGACAATTGAATCATAGGGGTTGCATGTGAGTTGCATGATGTTGCATGTAAACCGTCTCTTGTCGGGTTTGGGAGTGGCCGACCCAGCCAGTCCCAAGAATACTATGAAAATGTTTGCACAGTACCAGCCAGCCACAAAGGCCACATCTTTGATGTCCAGCCCTCTCTGGGCTACATCCGTGGCAATGAGGATGTTGCAACGCCCAGTCCTGAAGTCATGAAGGGTCTTGTCCCGTTGTCGCTGTTCCTTGTCACCATGGATGGCATTAGCCGGCAAACTCTGGTACTGGAGTTCTCGGCAAAGGGAGTCTGCTCCACGTTTCGTCTCCGTGAAAACCAGGACTTTAGAATTGTCCTCATGTGCGACGCTCTTGATCCAACTCATGAATCCTGGTTGAGCCACCCATCCCAAGAATTTGAAAGTCGCTTGGGATCATCATGCCATTTGTGAGGATGAAACATATATATATATATATAAATTTATTTAAAAAAAACAAATAAAAATAAAGCAACTGCCAACGAGAATCGATCGCGTTTTTCATACTCTCCAACCACCTCAATCTGCTGCGTAATCTTCGGATTCAGAGACAGCTCCTCTGAGCCAATGGTCAGCTTCACGGGATCTTCCCGGCAAAAATCCCTGGCCATTTGCTGAATCTCTTTCGGCCAAGTGGCAGACCACATCAGGGTTTGCCGGTCCGGGCGGATTTGCGACACCACCTTGCGAATCTGGGGCTCAAAGCCCATGTCGAGCATTCCTGGAGGCCACAGAGGCACCCCAAAAATGGGACGATTCTTATTATTACTATAGATTGCTATTGTTGTGATTATTCTTGTTGCTGGTGTTGTCACTCTGATTACCGTTATCATTATCATGGTTGTTCTTATTATTACCATTGCGATGGCGGGGATGAGGATGAGGATGAGGATGAGGAGATGGTGATGGTGATGAGGATGATGATGATGATGATGATGATGATGATGATGGTGATGGTGATGATGATGATGGGGATGAGGATGAGGATGAGGATGAGGACTTGAGGACTTGAGGACTTGAGGACTTGAGAGGGGGGGACGAAAGGCAGGTGGGGGCATATTTCTCAACAACTTTTTGCGCTCATCCTGTTTCAATATCGAACTTTCCCTTCCCCCTAGGTGCCTCTCAATTTCCTGCATCCATTTCGCTTCATACGTAGACTTCCCCCATTGGCCTCTCCACCACTTCTTACGTTTTTGTTGTTGCAATATCCGAATTTCCCCGGCATCAACAACTTCTTGCATGCATCTTGTCTCAATATCTAAATTCCACCCACCCTGTGCCATAGTCAGTAATAAGAACCACAAGCAAGATAATGTGAGTATGTGTTAGTCAGTTTGTTGGCCGGGCCAACTATGTGAATTAGAGGGGCCAAGGTGCCTCAACCGATGGACGCTCGGTTGAGGCACTTTGCGTGTAGGGTTAAGTCTTTAGGGATGTAACCTTCATGCGACTAAGTGCGTGAGGATGTCTGAAGCAAAAGCAACATCAAGAATTGCAGGAGACGAAACCGCCCTTGTTTCGTGGGAACTATTAAAAGGCTTGTGGCTCAGGGATAAGTGTCGCTGCGAAGGGACATGCTGCTATTGTTTTCTTATCTAGCATGAGCATTGTCCATGACCTGTGAAGAACATCGAGTGGTCTCGTAAAGTATTCCAGTTGGAGCATGGAGCTCAGCTGCGCGTCTGTGATATGCGTAGAGCACCGAATTGCTTCTTATTGAGCAGAAAAAATCGCCATGGCAACAGTATCAAAGTAGGCAGGTGCAAACAGCCATTGCAGTGGACTTTCTTCTGTCATGACTCTAGAACGCAACGTACATGGATTGGAATCGCACGTGTGCTGGGTGAAACAGGATGCGCGTGCGCTGAGGGGTATCAGAAGAGGTTGAGGTGAATAGGAAAACTTTTGCACACGCAAGTCATCCTTCCTTCCTTCCTTCCTTCCTTCCTGCCTTCCTTCCTTCCAGGAAATGACAATACAGTAACCATCAGTAACCCATATCTAGGAGATTGTAACGCGCAGCTTATTCCCTGCCACACACACCAACCGATTCGGATAGTAAGCGCTAGTCAAAGTGACAGAACGTCGCTGCAGAAGATCGCGCGCGTCAACTCAGTCGGGGCACGCACAACCTGAACCCATGCAGACCTTCAGAGCACTCTGGGCACGCTTGAACTGGGGCTCGCAGGGGCTGATGCTTGCGCATTGAGATGGGGTCGGCGCTCCTGGGTGAAGCCCTCAACAGTAGTGGCCAAGCAATAGGCTATCTGAGAGTTCGAGGCGATTTTCTGCTTGTGCACTGCACATCTAGAACATACTCTCCCTCAACTTGCAGCCGCAATGACGATACATTAACCCGTATCTGGAAACTTATCACTTGAGGCTAGCAACGGAGCCAACAATATGCGTGGCTGAATCCGGACCAGGGAGGAATCGAAGGGTGGGGGGGAAGCCTGTGCCATCGACGGTTGGCGTCGATTTTGCGGCACCACTTCTTGTGCATGTAGGCAGGGTGGAATGGGTTAAGGTGTCTCGATACATGTAGCTGTAACCTGCAACTCTCTTTATACTGGCAATACTGCATAGGATTTATCTCTGGCGCCAAGCGCCACTTTCAGAGCATGGGTGCTTTGCATTGTGGCGCGCCTGGTCCATCGGCCTGTCCATCGGCCTGCATCGGCTCCATCGGCTCCAGCGGCCTCATCGGCTCGGCTCCACTGGCCTCATCGGCTCCAGCGGCTCCATCGGCTCCAGCGCCTCCATCGGCCTCGTCCAGCGCCTCCATCGGCCTCGTCGGAGTCATCGGCCTCATCGGCCTCATCGGCATCATCGGCTCCAGCGGCTCCATCGGCTCCAGCGGCTCCATCGGCCTCATCGGCTCAAGCGGCCTCATCGGCTCCATTGGCCTCATCGACCTCATCGGCTCCATCGGCCTCAGCGGCTCCAGCGGCCTCATCGGCTCACTTGGCCTGATCGGCGCCAGCGGTTCCAGCGGCTCCAGCGGCTTCATTGGCATGTCTTTCTGGAAAGCCTATTATGGCCCGAAGCAGGCGGAATCAGTTGCGTCCATTTTGCGCCTATGGTTGCTTCGCTGCCTTTTGATTAGTATTGATCCATAGCCTCTTGGCTCGCGATATAGCCTCCAAGTGTCGAACGTACGGGGGAAGCCCCCCCCCTTATGTGGAGATTCCTTACTTCCAGCCGTCAATTTCCAGGAAAGGACCAACCACCTCCCCCAGTTTTAAACTAGTACTAAAGTACATAGAACTCAGGTAGCCTAGGCTACCTTTCGTGATGAGGATGAGGAGGATGAGGAGGACGAGGATGACGATGACGATGACGATGATGATGATGATGATGGTGATGATGAGGAGGAGGAGATGATGAGGAGATGATGATGATGATGATGATGATGATGATGGTGATGATGATGATGATGATGATGAGGAGGAGGAGGAGGATGAGGATGAGGATGAGGATGAGGAGGATGAGGATGAGGAGGAGGAGGAGGAGGGTGATGATGATGATGATGATGAAGATGATGATGATGATGATGCTTACGATGATGACGATGATGACGATGATGACGATGATGACGATGATGACGATGATGACGATGATGACGATGATGACGATGATGACGATGATGACGATGATGACGATGATGACGATGATTACGATGATGATGATGATGATGACGACGATGATGATGATGATGATGA